TGCTTTTGACATTTTATTTTATATACTTTCATGTTAGTTAAATTTTTTATAGTGAGATTACTTAGGTATTAGATAACTTTTAAAAAATCCATGTGCAATTAAATAATACCAAGGTGGGGATGCTTCTACTTTATTAGCATACTAAAATATAATTTGTCAGCAGTGATATATGTTTGAACATAAAATTGGGTCAAATAAGAATAAAAAACGTATGGAAAAAAACTCAATGTCCTGATTTCAGCCTGTCAGTTTTAGGCTGAAAAACATTCCATAAGAATTTCTAAAAAGTAGGCAGGAGGCACCTGCTCATTTGCATCTACCTACGAAGGTAATGACATCTCCATAAACACTTACTCTTAAATTCACAGAGCGGGGTTCTTATCTGTCTCCAGAGACAGCCTTTGCCAAAGAACCAAGTAGCAAGAAAGAACTACAGACTCCTGGGTTCACTGCACTTCACTCGGGCCCTTGACCTGCTCCAGTGACATTCACAACAGGCAGGACTATGATCCCTATAAAAGTGTCCTCAGTCCCTTCTGCTTTAGCAGAGGCATTTGCTAATCTCATCTTCCTTCTCCCACGTTCTCTTAAGAAAAAGAAAAGCACATACCATAAAACATCAAAATAATGCAATGCAACAGGGGAAATATAACTGTTTTAAGCATAACTGATTTAAAACTTTGTTAAAAATAAGAATTTATACCAAAATACAACATTTATGTCCAGACATCACTCCATAAGTAATCAAAAGACAGTGACAGTCACTTTATACAGAAGGAAATAAAACGAATCATAATGTGGGAAAACGGAAATTTTTAAGAAGTTTTAAATAGAGGGTTGTCACAAGTCATATCTGAAAAGGAGACAGATCATAAAATAGGATAAAATTTATTTTATTTCTATTTATGTATTTATTTATGTATTTATTTATTTATTTATTTTGAGACAGAGTCTTGCTCTGTTGCCTGGACTGGAATACAGTGGCACAATCTTCACTCACTGCAACCTCCACCTCCCAGGTTCAAGGAGTTCTCCTGCCTAAGCCTCCCAAGTAGCTGGGATTACAGGTGGCCACTACCATACCCAGCTAATTTTTGTATTTTTAGTAGAAACAGGGTTTCACTATGTTGGCCAGGCTGGTCTCAAACTCCTGACCTGATGATCTGTCCACCTCAGCCTCCAAAAGTGCTGGGATTACAGGTGTGAGCCATGACATACTTTGCAAACACAACAAATCCAAATGACAGTACCCAGTATTAACTAGGATATGGGGAATGGGCACACTATGCACTCCTGGATGCGGTACAAGTATTGGAACCTTATTGGGGATTCGTCTACCCCAGTTTAGAAGGCATGGATCAATCTAATAATTCTATTATTTGTAAATAAGCCAAGAGAGAAATATTATTTTTATAAAAATGTGAAAGACAAAGAAAACCTAAATGCTCAACAATATTAATTTATGGATAACACCATCACTATGGAAAAATACATAGCTATTGAAAATGACAAGTAAACTATAGGTAACAATGTAAGAAAAGTAAAACCCAAAATACTATGTAAATACCATTTATAGATCTATAAAAACACATATATAAATTAATGAAATTCTTTATAGTTATCAAAAATAATGACGTAGGCCAGGTGCAGTGGCTCACGTCTGTAATCCCAGCACTTTGGGAGGCTAAGGCGGACAGATCACCTGAGATCAGGGGTTCAACTCTAGCCTGCCCAATATGGTGAAATCCCGTCTCTACTAAAAATACATAAAAATTAGCTGGGTGTGTTGGCAGGCACTCGTAATTCCATCTATTTAGGAGGCTGAGGCAGGAGAATCGCTTGATCCTGGGAGGCAGAGGTTGCAGTGAGTCGAGGTTGTGTCACTACACTCCAGCCTGGGTAACACAGATAGACTTTCTCTCAAAAAAAATAAAAATGATATAGATTTATGCTTTTAGAAATGACAGCATAGGCAAGTCATGGTGGCTCATGCCTATAATCCCAGCACTTTGGGAAGCCAAGGTGGGAGGATCGCTTGTATCCAGAAGTTAAGAGATCAGCCTAGGCAACATAGTGAAATTCCATCTCTATTAAAAAAAAAAAAAAATTAGCTGGGCATGGTGCATGCCTGTAGTTCCAGCTACTGTGAAACATAGGCAGGAGAACTGCTTGAACCCAGGAGGTCAAGGCTGCACTGAGCCATGATCACATCACTACACTCCGTAGGAGTGACAGAGTCAGATATTGTCTCAAAAAATATATAAAAAATAAAATTAAATTTAAAAAATTTGGCCAGGCGCAGTGGCTCATGCTTGTAATCCCAGAACTCTGGGAGGCCAATGCGGGTGGATCACGAGGTCAGGAGATTGACACCAGCATGACCAACATGGTGAAACCCCGTCTCTACTAAAAATACAAAAATTAGCTGGGCATGGTGGCACACACCTGTAATCCCTCTACTCAGGAGGCTGAGGAAGGAGAATTGCCTGAACCTGGGAGGCGGAGGTTGCAGTGAGCCAAGATCGTGCCACTGCACTCCAGCCTGGGCAACAGAGTGAGACTTCATCTCAAAAAACCCGTTCAAAAAAAAAAAAAAAAAAACCAATATAACAGTAACATATAATGGGGAAAGTTAATAACAGAAAAAAAAATGTATGTGATGCTATGTAAAAATTCCATATCTATTCTTCTATCTACAGAGAAATATCAAGAAATATGTTCACCAAAATATAAATAAAGGTTATCTCAGGACTATGTGAATTGGGGATGCTTTTTACAAGTTAAAATTATGAAGCTATTTTCATTTTGAGAAAGAAAAAAAGCAGAAATGTGTAACAGCAAAGATTAGAAGAGAATTTTCTAAGTTTTCAGTGTTCTCTCTCTCTCTTACACACACAGGCGCATTCTCTTACGCTGACAACCCTAACATCACTAGATAGCTATAAGTGAAAGACTATTTGTGAGAATTGGTGCCACTGGGTAGCAGGTCCTAACCTCTCTCACCAGCTCAAGTCTTATGTCACTTAAGACACACCGCAAGGCAAAAGTACTACAGAACAGTTTCCTCCTAGAATCTCATGATTCTAGCACAGGTGTCACAGACTTTTTCTGTAAAGGATCAGACAGCTAAATGTTTTAGGCTTTGTAGGCCATCTGTTCAGAACTCCTCACCTCTGTCATTTCTCTATCAAAGTAGCTATAAACACTACTTAAACAAGTGAGTATGGCTATGTTCCAAAAAGACCTTTATTTATAAATAATGAAATTTGACTTTCATATAATTTTCACATCACTAAATATTCATTTCAAAAATTCTTTCCAGGTTCATCCATGCTGGCAGAAGAGCAGAAGATCAAACACCGCATGTTCTCACTCATAGGTGGGTGTTGAACAATGAAAACACATGGACACAGGGAGGGGAGCACTACACACTGGGGTCAGTTGGGGGGAAATAGGGGAGGGACAGTGGGGTGTGGGGAGCTGGGGAGAGATAGCAAGGGGAGAAATGCCAGACGTAGGTGATGGGGAGGAAGGCAGCAAATCACACTGCCACGTGTGTTCCTATGCAACAATTTTGCATGTTCTTCACATGTACCCCAAAACCTAAAATGCAATAAAATAAATAAATGGGAAAAAAAAAGAAAAAAAAAATTCTTTCCAATCATTTAAAAATGTAAAAACCAAAAATAAAAAAAAGTTAAACAGTTATCATATACCCCATTCCTATACATAAACACAGGAGAACTGAAAACAAATATATAACAATTTGTATATAAACATTCATAGCAGCATTATTTATAACATCCAAAAAGTAGAAATGTGTTAGTCCATTTTCTGCTGCTTATAACAGAATACCTAAAACTAGGTAATTTGTTTTTAAAACACTATTTATTTCCTACTGTTATGGAGGCTGAGAAGTGCAAGGTTGAGGGGCTGTGTCTGGTGAGAGCCTTCTTGCTGGTAAGGACTCAGCTTAGTATCCAGGTGACACAGGGCATCACATAGTGAGGGTGCTGAGCATGTTAGCTCAGGTCTCTCTTCCTCCTTTTATAAAGCCACCAGTTTCACCCCCATGATAACCCATCAATCCTTTAATCCATGAATAGATCAACCCATTCATAATGGTAGAGCCCTCATTACCCAATCCATATGGAAGAATAGTATTCAAGCACAAAAAGGAATTCAGATCTGCTACACGCTACAACATGGCTGAACCCTGAAAACATTATGCTAAGTAAAAGAAACCAGACATAAAAGGCCACATATTGTAGGCTTCTATTTATATGAAATGTCTAGAATAAGAAAATCAATAGACAGAATTAGTGGCGGTCAGAGACTGGAAGGGGAAGGAACGGGAAATGATTGTTAATAAATATAAAAATTCTTTTTGGAGTAAAGAAAATGTTCTGGAATTAGTGGTGATGGCTGCTCAATCTTATGAACATACTAAAACCAATGAAGTGTACATTTGAAAATGAGGAATTGTATGATACATAATTTTGATAACAATAAAAAATGTGGAAACCATTCCTAGTTTGCAGGCCATACAGCAATGAACTACAGGCTGGATTTAGCTGGGGACTATAGTTTACCCACCCTGTTCTAGCATCTAACAGGGAAAATATCTTTGGGTTTTACACACACACACACACACACACACACACACACACACAGAGCAAATTAGAACACAGCCAAAGGCCAAAACTTGAAATCAGCTAAGCCAGAACTGAAAAATTATTTAACAATTAAAGTTATTTAAAAATAGAAAGATAAGGAGCCTGTTTAAGTTATGCTCCCTGCCACCAAACACCGTAAAATTATTTTTCTGAAAATAGACAAAATTTAATAGATTGGCAGAAAAAAGGCATGTGTTATATAGACTTACAGGTATTGAAGTTATATGTTATTTTAAACCAGCTTGTAAGTACAGTCCCCATTTTGTCAGGCCAAGTTTATTTTAAAATTAAGCTAATTTGGAAATGTATTTATTGGCACATTACCTGGAGGAACTAGCTGTATTAATTCAAACCTGGTTAGGGAGCCTAAAAAGGAAAATATGAGATTTTAATACTTCCAAAAATCGCCACAGTTTTTCAATAATTGTTAAGTTTTAAACTGTCATAAAATCCATTTAATAGTAACAATAATAAGAACAGTAATTAAAAATAACTACCATATCAACATCAAATCAGGTATTTCTAGAATTAATCAATCAAGATCAGGAGAGTGGAATGAGAGTAACAGAGTTATAAAAATAGCATTCCAGGCCAGGTGCCTGTATCCCACCACTTTGGGAGGCCGAAGCGGGTGGATCACGAGGTCAGGAGATCAAGACCATCCTGGCTAACATGGTGAAACCCCATCTCTACTAAAAATACAAAAAATTAGAGGGGCGTGGTGGCACGCGCCTGTAGTCCCAGCTACTTGAGGGGCTGAGGCAAAAGAATCACTTGAACCCGGAAGGTGGAGGTTGCAGTGAGCCAAGATCACAGCCACTGAACTCCAGCTTGGGCAACAAAGTGAGACTTCATCTCAAAAAAAAAAAAAAAAAGTTTCACAAGCCATAAAAAAGAACAAGATCATGTCTTTTGAAGGATCTGGAGGCCATCAAACTAATGCAGAAACAGAAAACCAAGTACAGCGTATTCTCACTTATAAGTAGGCATTAAATGATGAGAATTCATGGACACACAAAAAGGAGCAATACACACTGGGGCCTACCTGAGGGTGGAGGGTGGGAGAAGAAAAGCTATCAGAAAAAAATAACTATTAGATACTAGACTTAATACTTGAGTGACAATCTGTACAACAAACCCCCATGACACGAGTTCACCTATATAACAAACCTGTACATATACCCCAAACCTAAAAGTTAAAAAAAAAAAAAAAAAAAACAGCGTTTCACCTCCTGAAAAGTGTTGGGAAAAAAAAAAACATGCAATATTTTGTCTCCTAAAAGTGTATACAATAAATAAATAAGTGTATACATAGAGCTTTAAAATAACAATGCACTTTTCATCTTAAAAATTCAAAATCCATTTGTTATCCATTAACATACAAAAGTTTATCTTGCTTAAAAGTGTGCTATATGGCTATAAAAATTAGATATAAAATACAACTTTTTAAACTTTTCTTGAGTTCAAAATATTTTAGAAATAGTGAGCCTATGTACAATGACAAGAATAAAACTAAAATAAGGACAAGAATAAAATTCAGATCTTTAAGATAACAAAACAAATGATACATTAGGTTGGTACAATTATAAAATTTAAAAATCAACAAAGATAATTCTCACAAAATAACATAACAAGTGAAAACATTTTAGTTTTTTTGTTTTGTTTTGTTTTTTGAGCCAAGGTCTCGCTTTGTCACCTAGGGTGGAGTGCAGTGGTGCGATTCTGGGTCACTGCAACCTCCACTTTCTGGCTTCAAGCGATTCTTCTGCCTCAGCCCCCCAAGTAGCTTGAACTACAGGTGCGTGCCACCACGCCCAGTTAATCTTTTGTATTTTTAATAGTGATAGGGTTTCACCATGTTGGCCAAGCTGGTCTCAAACTCATGACCTCAGGTGATCTGCCCACCTTAGCCTCCCAAAGTGTTGGGATTACAGGCGTAAGCCACTGTGCCCAGCCGTGAAAACATTTTAAATAGACAACAAAAGTAAAATTTTAACTTTGTAGATTTATGAAAAAGTTTTGAATTTATAGGACAAAACTTTAAATGCCAAGAAACTTAAAAGACAAGACAGCCTGAAACTTTAGGCTTTCAAAATGAGAGGAGGGAATATATATTTGCCAAACATCACCCCAGTGGTAATTTAAGCACCTCATTTGTTTCAGGCTCTAAATTCTTTTTTTTTTTTTTTTTTTTTTTTTTTCTTTTGGGACGGAGTTTCGCTCTTGTTACCCAGGCTGGAGTGCAATGGCGCGATCTCGGCTCACCGCAACCTCCGCCTCCTGGGTTCAGGCAATTCTCCTGCCTCAGCCTCCTCAGTAGCTGGGATTACAGGCACGCACCACCATGCCCAGCTAATTTTTTGTATTTTTTACCAGAGACGGGGTTTCACCGTGTTGACCAGGATGGTCTCGATCTCTTGACCTCGTGATCCACCCGCCTCGGCCTCCCAAAGTGCTGGGATTACAGGCTTGAGCCACCGCGCCCGGCTTTTTTTTTTTAATGTGTTTATTTCCACAGGTTGTTGGGGAACAGATGGTGTTTGATTACTTGAGTAAGTTCTTTAGTGGTGATTTGTGAGAATTTGGTGCAGCCATCACCCGAACAGTAGATACTGCCACCTATTTGTAGTGTTTTATCCCTCACTCCCTTCCCACCCCTTCCCCCTAAGTCCCCAAAGTCCATCGTGTCATTCTTGTGCCTTTGCATCCTCATAACTTAGCTCCCACTTATGAGTAAGAATATGTGATGTTTGGTTTTCCATTCCTGAGTTACTTCATGTAGAATAATAGTCTTCAATTTCATCCAGGTCATTGCTAATGTCATTAATTCACTCCTTTCAATGGTTGAGTAGTATTCCATCATATCATATATATGACAGAATATATATATATGTATGATAAATATATATATCACAGTTTCTTTATCCACTCATTGATTGATGGGCTTTGAGTTGGTTCCATGTTTTTGCAATTGCAAATTGTGCTGCTATAAACAAGCGTGTGTAAGTATTTTTTTAATAAAATGACTTCCTCTGGGTAGACAGATACCCATTAGTGGGATTGCTGGATCAAATAGTAGTTTTACTTTTAGTTCTTTAAGGAATCTCTACACTGTTTTCTGTAGTAGTTGTACAAGTTTACATTCCCATCAGTGGTGTAGAACTGTTATCTGTTCACTGCATCCACACCAACATCTACTATTTTTTAATTTTTTTATTATGGTCAGGCTCTAAATTCTATATAGTCAATTAATTCTCAACATAACTCTATGAGTCCAAAGCAAGGGATAGCCTCATTTTTATGAATGAAGAAACTAAATCTCAAAGAGGAAACTATAGTAATGTAGGCAAGGTCACACTGGCTAACAGTGACAGGGCTGTATGTGAACCCAAGTAGTCTGCTCTCAGGGCCTGTCCTCTTATCCACAAGATGCTTCATTGAAAAATCCTATTCTTCCACAGAGTGAGTTAATTAGGATGCTTGATAAAATAACTACACCTTTTAATTGCCTTCTGGAATGGCATAACATAATTTATACTTGCTTTAAATATCAAGGACAAAGGAAATCACTTATAAGTGACCTAGAGAACTGTTCTTATGTTCTTTTATGCTTCAGTCCACCTCTCAGGGTTAATATTGGGAAATGAAATGAAAATATCCCAATTCTTATACGATCATTTAAAATGCTGAATTTTTCTTCTGGATTTAAAGAGGCTTGAGAGAATCAGTGTTCTTACAGATGTGACCCATCTCAGAGAGATATTTCACTTTCCTGCTTTTTAAGCTTCAGGAAGAAACATAAATGCAGTAAATCAACTGGGTATTGAATCCACTTTTTAAAAGGCCAAATGCCAAAGGCATCATTTTTTTATACCCAGTTGCCTTGATGGCTTCCTGAGACACATACTTGCTCAGTGACTTCCCTAACCCATGCTACCTCTGTAGGCACTGACTTACTCTTTACCCAATTTCAAACTCTTTAATCTACCTGGTATGTCAGCCTGAGGCATGGTCTGCTACCATTCTGACTTCTACCCAGGATGGCCTCAGCTCACTTGGTACTCAATTACATGAGTAAGTTCTCTAGTCCTTTCCCTAGATTCTGGTCCTTTCCCTAGATTCTGCTATTATTTGTGACCTTGATCCAATTCTTTCAACTGAGTAACATCTCAGGTGCAAATTTCATAAAGCTTGAAAATGTGATTAAAAGTCACACCATCCACAAACCTTTCACCTAAAGACACTGGGAAAACAAAAGGGCAAACTAAACTCAAAGCAAACAGAGGAAAGATAATAATAAAGATTAAGCAAAAAGTAATGAAATAGAAAACAGAAGACCAATAGAAAATCAATAAATCTAAAAGTTGGTTCTTTAAAATGATCAATAAAACTGACAAACCTTTAGCTAGACTCACTAAGAAAAAACAGAAAAGACTCAAATTACTAAAATCATAAATGAAAGGACAGACATTACCACTGATTTTACAGAAATACTTTTTTTGTTTGTTTGTTTGTTTTTGAGACAGAGTCTTGCTCTGTTGCCCAGGCTAGAATGCACTGGCACGATCTCAGCTCACTGCCACCTCTGCTGCTGGAGCTCAAGCAATTTTTCCACCTCACCCTCCCAAGCAGCTAGGATTACAGGCAATCACCACCAAACCTGGCTAATTTATGAGGGGGTGTGTCTATATTTTTGGTAGAGACGGGGTTTCACCATATTGGCCAGACTGGTCTGAATCTCCTGAGCTCAAGTGATCCCCACACTTTGGTCTTCCAAAGTCCGGGGATTACAGGCGTGAGCTACCATGCCTGGCCTAGAAATAATTTTTTTCTTTTTTTTTTTTTTTTGAGACAGAGTCCTGCTCTGTCACCCAGGCTGGGGTGCAGTGATACGACCATAGCTCACTGCAGCCTTAACCTCCCTAACTCAAGTGATCCTCCCACCTCAGCCTCCTGGGGAGTGAACACCACAGGCACATGCCACCACACCCCACTAATTTTTGTTGTTGTTGTTGTATGGACAGGGTCTCCAAAAAAATAGTTTTAAGGGAATACTGTGAACAACTTTATGTCAATAAATTAGATAAATGAAATGGAAAAACTCCTAGAAAGACACAAACTAATAAAACTAACTCCAGAAGAATCAGAAAATCTGAAGAGACCTATAATGTGTAGGAAGAAATTAGTAATCAGAAAACAACCCAAAGACAAACCCAGGTCCAGGTGGCTTCACTAGTAAATACTACCTTAATAATTAGTACCAATTATTCATAAACCCTTCCAAAAAATAGAATAGGGCAGAACATACCAAAACGGATTCCACAAGGTTAGCAGTACCAAAATCAGATAAAGCCATCATAAGAAAACAAAACTACAGACCAATATCTCTTACAATTTTAAGTCCCAAAATCATCAATATAATACTAGCAAGCAAATCCAGCAACATATAGAAAGGATTATATACCATAAGGTTGGCTTAATATCTAAAAATCACATATCAATAAAATAAAGGATAAAAATCACATGATTGTCTGGGCTCAGTGACTCATGCCCATAATCCCAGCACTTTGGAAGGTTGAAGTGGGAGAATCACTTGAGGTCAGGTGTCCAAGACTAGCCTGGCCAATATGGTGAAACCCATCTCTACTAAATATACAAAAATTAGGCGGGCATCATGGCAGGTGCCTGTAATTCAAGCTACTCGGGAAGCTGAGGCAGGAGAATCGCTTAAACCAGGGAGGTGGAAGTTGCAGTGAGCCAAGATGGCACCATTGCAGTCCAGCCTGGGCGACAAGAATGAGACTCCATTTCAAAAAAAATAATAATAACATAGATCATCTCAATAGATGTAGAAAAGGCATGTGATAAAATTCAACATTCATTCATGATAAAAACTCAGTAAACTAGGAATAAAGAGGAGCTTCCTCAACCTGATATAGAGCACTTATGAAAAACCATAATTTAATCTTACAACTAATGGTGAAAAACTGAATGCTTTTTCCCTACTATCAGGAAATAAATAAGGATGCTCACTTTCACTGCTTCTATTCAATACTGTACTGGAGATTCTAGCCAGGGAAATTAGACATGAAAATGAAATAAAATGCATACAAACTATAAAAGAAGTAGTAAACTATTTCTATTTGCAGATGACATAATTTTGTATATAGACAATCCTACGGAATCAAGAAAAAAACTACTAAAACTAATAAACGAGTCCAGTAAGTTTTCAGGATAAAATATTAGTATATAAAAATCAATTGCATTTCTATATACTTGAACAAATCTGAGACTGAAATTTTTTAAAATTCCATTTACGACTGCTTCAGAGTACGAAGGAATAAATTTAACCAAAAAATACAACACTTGTAAACTGAAAATTACAAAACATTATTGAAATAAATTTAAAATAACCTAAATAAATGGAAATACCTCCCACATTCATGACTGGAAAACTTAATATTGCTAAGGTGGAAATAATCCCCAAATTGATATACAGTCAATGGAATCCCTATCAGCATCCCAGCTGGCTTCTTTGCAGACATTGACAAACTATTTCAAAAATTCTTATGGAAACTCTAATGACCCAAAATAGCAGTTCTGAAAAAGAAAAACTAAGCCGGAAGATTTACCCTTCCTGGTTTTGAGATTTATTCTAAAGCTAGGCCAGGCGCAGTGGCTCATGCCTGTAATCCCAGCATTCTGGGAGGCAAGGTGGGCAGATCATGAGGTCAGGAGTTTGAGACCAGCCTGGCCAATACAGTGAAACCCCATGTCTACTAAAAATACAAAAGTTAGCTGGGCATGGTGGCACACGCCTGTAGTCTCAGCTACTCGGGAGGCTGAGGAAGAAGAATCATTTCAATCCAGGAGGCAGAAGTTGCCGTGATCCAAGATCGCGCCACTGCACTCCAGCCTGGGCAACAGAGCGAGACTCTGTCTCAAAAAAAAAAAAAAAATGAATCTATTACAAAGCCGTGGTAATCAGGATTGTGTGTTGGCATAATGATAGACATATGAATCACTGGAATAAAACTGAGAGCCTAAAAGTAAATCCTCACATTACTGTAAGCTGATTTTCATCAAGGGTGCCAAGACAATTCAACGAGGGAAAGAATGGTCTTTTATCAAATCATATGGAGCTAACATAAATGGATTTCCATATGCAAAAGAATGAAGTTGGTCCCCAACCTCACACTGTCTACAAAAATCAACACAGTATAAACCATAGTGCTAAATGTAAGGGCCAAAACTATAAAACTGTTAGAAGAAAACATAGATGTAAGTCTTCATAACATTGAGGTAGGCAATGGTTTCTTAGACATGACACCAAAACCACAAGCAACAAAGAAAAAACAGATAAACTGAAATTCATCACAATTTAAAACTTTTGCATTTCAAAAAATACCACAAGAAAGTGAAAGACAAGTCTAGAATGAGAGAAAATATTTGCAAATCATACATGTGACAAAGGTCTTGTATCTAGAATATATAAAGAATATTTACAGGCCAGGCATGGTGGCTCATATCTGTAACCCCAACATTTTGGGAAGCCCAGAAGGGAGGATCACTTAAGACCAGGAGTTCAAGACAAGCTGGGCAACATAGTGACATCCTGTCTAAATAAAATATAAAAACAAAACAAAACATAAAAAACAAACAAAAATTAGCTGGGCATGGTGATGTGTACCTACAGTCCCAGCTACTTCAGAAGCTGAGGTGGGAGGACTGCTTGAGCCCAGGAAGTCGAGGCTCCAATAAGCTAACATCATGCCACTGCACACTCCAGGCTGGGTGACAGAGGGAGACCCTGTCTCAAAATAAATAAAAAAATAAATAAAGACAAATGATCCCATTAAAAAGTAGACAAAGGATCTGAATAGACATTTCCCCCCAAAAAAATATACAAATGGTCAATTATCTCAGGAAAAAATGTTCAACATCATTAGCCATCAGAGAAATGCAAATCAAAACAATGATGAGATACCATTTCACACTCACAAAGATGACTACCAATCAAAATGACAGACAGTAACAAGTGTTGGCTGGGATATGGGAAAATGGAACCCTCATACATTGCTGGTGAGATGTAAAATGATTCAGCTGCTTTGGTAAATAATGTGAAACTTTCTTAAAAGGTTAAACATACAGTTACCATGTTGAAATGGGAAAAGCTCCCTTTTCCCCCTGACAGGACATGCGATAAGGTCGTGGCTTGCTTCTTCAGTGTCCCACTGTTCAAATCTCTAGAGAAACATACAGAGGGGCAGGCTGTGGAGCTCCGACCCCACAGCAGTGTCTAGGGGTGAATGTTTATGGCTCCTGAAGCCCTAGTGGGCATGTGTTACAGGGTGCTCTTTCAGTTTGCCATCTATAGCTGGCTTGTGTTAGTCAGCTCAATTAGACCCCTACCTTGTCACAAGGACAGAGGGCTTTCTGTAACCCAGGGTTTCTTGCCTTGGTATACCAGAAGAATCGGATTACACATGGGGTTGGAGAATGAGTGCAAGACTTCATTGAGTGGAAGTAGCTTTCAGCAGATGGGGGAGCTAGAAGGGAGATGGTTTTACCCTGGAGTTGGGCCACTTGGCAGCCCCAGCTCTCCTCAAGCTGCCTCGGCCAAACTCCATGTTGTTCTGCAAGGCCGAGGCACTCCTCTGGATGTCCAGTCACTTCTGTCTCTGACTTGCCAGGGTCTTGGGTTTTTATAGGCACAAGATGGGGGCACAGCAGGCCAGGATGCTCTTGGGAAATGCAACATGTGAGCACAGTGCCTGTCCTCACCTAGGTCCGTGAGGATGGAGTCCTAGCCAGGGACCACAGCCTTCCTCTACCCAGCACTCCTCTTCCCTCTTCCTTATCACTTAAAGGTACCACGATCTTCCCTCCCCAGCACTCCTGTATCCATATGACCCAGCAATTTCACTCCCAGGTATACCCAAGAGGCATTAAAACATATGTTCACATAAAAATTTATATAAAAATATTCACAGCATCATTATTTATCATAGCCTAAAAGTGGAAACAATGCAAATGTCCATCAATTGATGACTAGAAAAACAAAATGTGATATATTTCTCCAATAGAATACTATTTGGCTATAAAAAATTAAGTTTGCACATGCTATAATGTGGATGAGCCTTGAAAACATTACACTAAGAAGTCAATTACAAAGGAGCACAAGTTGTATAACCTCATTTATATGAAATACCCATAATAAGCAAATCTATAGAGACAGAAAGATTAGTGATTGCCTACAGCTGGGAGGGTTGGTAGGGAACAGCGAGTAACTACTAATGGGCATAGGGCTGCCTTTTGTAATGATAAAAATATTTTAATTAAATGAAATACACAAAAACAATTTTTATAAACAATGAAACAGAATCATACCATTCATCAAAGCCATCTATATTTAGAAAAGGGTATGTGACAGAATAAAAAACATGATTCAAATTGTATATAGACTGTCTTGAATGTAAATATTTATGAAACATGAATATATCAGTTTAGAAAAGAGCAGAATTTTAAAACTGTGAATTACACACAATAGTCTTTTGGTTTTCTGTTTTGTTCAGAATACCTACTTTCCAAAATGTCTGCTACAGCTCCAGGATCTACTGCATTTTCAAATACCTGCAGAGGAAAATGGGGAAAATAAATTTGTCTTAATAAGTGCATACGGAAATTGTAAATGCCAGGTGCAGTAGCTCACATCTGTAATCCTAGCACTTTGGGAGGCCAAGGTGGGTGGACTGCTTATTAAGCTCAGGAATTTGAGACCAGCCTGGGCAACGTAGTGAAACCCTCTCTCCACAAAAAATATCAAAGTTAGGTGGGCATGGTGGCTCGTGCGTGTATTCCCAGCTACTTGCGGGGCTGAGGCTGAAGGATCACTTAAGCCCAGGAGACAGAGGTTGCATTGAGCCGAGATCACATCACCACACTCCCGCATATGAGAAAGAGTGAGACCATGTCTCAAAAAAAAAAAAAAAAAAAAAGAAACTGTAAATTAGATTCTTCCAAATAATTAACATATATAAAATCCAGTCACATAACATTTTAGAATTCAACAGATGCACCTTTAGTAGGTTTCTGACTAAAAGTTCAACAGGTGATGATGGAATAAATGAAGGATAACTAACACAACAATAAGAAATGTGGGAAAATCTCAATTAGCTAAGTCTACCACATGCTAAAAATGTTATTAACTTGACCTAGCTCTGCTGTTTGTTGCTAAAAGCACATCCTGAATCAACCTCAAAGAGTCTTGTTTGACCACCTAGAAAAACATTCTGTATATAACAGATACTCATTTAATGTTAACTCAATGAATGGTTGATCTTCCCAGGCAATTGGTTGTGCTAAAAAGGAATATAAAAAGAAATTTTACCTATGTGTAACACAAAAGCTAGTACTAGCAGCTACACTCCCACAGAGTAAAAAAGAAAGAAAAGTCTCATAAGTTTTAAGTGTATCTTGAAGCACAAGAAAAACATTGTAATATCTGTCTAGCCACTGCCAAATCTTTATATTTTGCTCTTGAAATAAAAGGGCCTGGGATAGGATTGAAATAAAGGTACACCATGTCCTTCCCCCTAAACTCTAGAACCCTAAGAAAAATAAAACATTTTCAGCAGAGTTTGATTTCAGGATTTAAAGTTCTGATTTAAATGGTGTTTAAACTTAAACAAAAATGAAAATGTCTCATATAATCCAGTTTTGTCCTACTGACTTGAATTTATCAAGCAAATGTGGGTAAGTGGGGTTTTTTGCCTAAAATATTTTTAATAATCCTTTCATTTCACCCATTGTTATGGGTTGAATTGTGTCCCCCCCAAAATTCATAGGCTGAATTATTAAAACCCAGTATCTCAGAATATGACCTTGGTTTGTAAAAAGGGTCACTGCAAATAAAATTACTTAAGTTAGAATGAGGTCATACCAGGATAGAGTGGGCCTCTAATCTGATATGACTGGTGTCCTTTTGAAAGGCAAAAATTTGAGCACAGAAACTGTTTAAAAAAAAAAGAGAGGCCGGGCGCGGTGGCTCACGCCTGTAATCCCAGCACTTTAGGAGGCCGAGGCGGGTGGATCACGAGGTCAAGACATCGAGACCATCCTGGTGAACACGGTGAAACCCCGTCTCTACTAAAAATACAAAAAATTAGCTGGGCATGGTGGCGCGTGCCTGTGATCCCAGCTACTCAGGAGGCTGAGGCAGGATAATTGCCTGAACCCAGGAGGCGGAGGTTGCGGTGAGCCGAGATCACACCATTGCACTCCAGCATGGGTAACAAGAGCGAAACTCCGTCCCAAAAAAAAAAAAAAGAGAGAGAAAAAAAAGGAAAGAAAAAATACTTGAGGCAAAATTAAATTTATTTGAGCAAAGAACAATTCATAAACTGGGCAGCACTCAGAACTAAAAGAGGTTCAGAGACCTCACTGCTGCATTGTGGGCAGCAGGCTTTTACAGCCTAACATGAAAATAAGACAAAGAAAATACATTAAATTGGTTGGAGTAGAAAGACCCTAGTTAGAGATTACTCGGCAGTTTCTGATAGTAAAGTCTCTAGTTAAAACCTGGCAGTTTATTATTGGTAAAATCTCTAGTTAGAGGTTAGTTGATGATATGTTCGGCTTCAGTTTGCTTACACAGGAACTTAAGGCACTGGAGCTGCTCTAGTCTAATGGCCTCCTGACCCCAAATTTTCCTAACAGTGTACACACAGAGTAAATGCCACGTAAATATTGGAATTACACTGCCACAAGCCAAGAAACTATACCAGAAACTAGGAGACAGGCCAGGAATATGTCCTTCCCTAGTGCCTTTAAAAGGAGTATGGCCCTGCTGACACTCCGATTTCAAGACTTTTAGCCTCCAGAACTGTAAGACAATATGTTTCTGGTGATTAAGCCATTCAATTTGTGGTACTTTTGTATAGCAGCTCTAGGAAACTAAGATATCCATATCTAAGGATTTTCTCAAGTATGATCTTGGAAAATAAAGTATCAACATGAACTGCTTGGACAATGGCTCATAAATTCTTTTTTTCTTTTTGAGACAGAGTTTTGCATGGTTGCCCAGGCTGGAGGGCAATGGTGCGATCTCGGCTCACTGCAACCCCCACCTCCCAGGTTCACACGATTCTGCTGCCTCAGCCTCCCGAGTAACTGGGATTGCAGGCACACACTACCACACCTGACTCTACATTTTTAGTTGAGATGGGGTTTCACTATGTTGGCCAGACGGGTCTCAAACTCCTGACCTGGTGATCTGCCCACCTCAGCCTCCCAAAGTGCTGGGATTACAGGTGTGAGCCACTGCACCCAGCCAGCTTATATATTCTTATGAGTAATTTGTTTACCCAGATGCTTCAGAAAATTCCACTTTGAATTAAACATAAGATCCAAGGAAGAGAAAATATTGTCACTACCTGCTGCAAGTAGTTGCAGTTAGAGAAGGGAACAGATATAAGGAAGCTAAAACCAACAGGAAGAAAAGAATCTGAACCCAAACAACTCATGCAAGAGGACAATTACTTAATTTTATAAAATGAAAAACGGTTCCATGATTTGTTTGACTAGTAATCTCAAATGTACAGCTTTTCAACAGAGAAGCAGTAGTGGCATCAGAAATGTGACTCAGGCTCACTTTTTAACTCTTTAACTAGTTATCTAGTTATCTACTTGTGTGCTTCTACGATTTTGTATCTTTGGGCTTCTTATAAAAATATTTTTAAAGGCTTTTACAGACTAGACATGGTGGCTTATGCTGTAATGCTGGCACTTTGGGAGGCCAAGGTGGGCAGCTCATTTGAGGCCAGGAGTTTTTGTTTTGTTTTGTGTTGAGACAGAGTCTTGCCCTGTTGCCCGGGCCGGAGTGCAGTGGTGGGATCTCGGCTGACTGCAACCTCCTTCTCCCAGATTCAAGTGATTCTCCTGCCTCAGCCTCCTGAGTAGCTGGGATTACCGGCGCGCACCACCACATCTGGCTAATTTTTGTATTTTTAGTAGAGATGGGATTTCATCATGTTGGTCAGGCTGATCTTGAACTCCTGACCTCGTTCCGCCCACCTCGGCCTCCCAAAGTGCTGGGATTACATGTGTGAGCCTGTGCCTGACTGAGACCAGGAGTTTGAGATCAACCTGGCCAACACGGCGAAACCCTGACTCTACTAAAAATACAAAAATTAGCCTGATGTAGTGGCAGATGCCTATAATTCCAGCTACTCTGGGGGCTGAGGCTGAAAAATCACTTGAACCTGGGAGGCAGAGGCTGCAGTGACCCAAGGTCTTGCCACTGCACTCCAGCCTGGGTGACAGAGCAAGACTCTGCCCGCCCTTCTCCAAAAAAAAGACTTCTACAGAGCAAATTCAAAATTGATGTAACTAATAAGAAAATTATTGGTGGGGAGTGGGGGAAAGACTGAAATTTTACCACCAACTTTTTACTACTTCTAACATCTAAATGGGAGAACTAAGTTCCTTCAGATTCTATGTCCCAAGGTAATAGCCATTTGTTTCTCTCCTCTTTTATCTAGCCAGTTTGGTACATTCTTCATTTAAATTAATAGGTTATGATTTATAAAAATATTACATACAACCTTAGCCCTTCAGAAAATCGATTCTTCTCTCCTCTCTCAACCTCAGGTTGAAACAGATAGGTCACTTTCTGGGCATCACCTTCCAGAGGTTGAAAAGTGACAAGCTCTACTCTGTATCCTTCCTTCTCCCCAGATCTCCCTCAGTGACATTGTTTGGAGCAAAATCATTAGACTTACTAAGGTTAAAACTGATTCCATCTCCAAATTCCAAAACAAAAACGTTAAGAGATTGTCAGTGATGACATAGTAATGGCAACAATACTCTGTGAAATAGTTTAGTGGGAAGAGGGCTGGTAATGTTTTGACTATTTATATCGCCACGTTATTTACCAGAATGGAATCCAGCCTTTATCACTGTAGTTAAAAAAACAGGTATAATCTGAGGAAACAGTAAATCTGAACAGACTTTTTGTTTTGTTACAGGATTTCAATTACAGTATTTAACTAATTTCCTTATAGTTTTTTCATTATTTTTCTTGGTCTAATACAGTTTTTTTCCTCAGGTCCACAGTTTACTAATAATCTCTTTCATAAATGTAATGCAACTACCTCTAACACCTCCAAAAACATTCAGAAATGCTCTCTTTGTTCCAGTTAAAAAATGCCAAGGGAGTTCCAAGAATAGGAAGCATCAACCGAGGTATTTAGCACTAGATTGACAGAACTTGGCTCAGACCTGCATTACAAAAGCAAGTCTTGGAACTGTGGGTTTGCTTCAAGGCCACTTGCGGTTTTGCACTGGCTGAAGTGCTTTCGGATAATTTTTTAAAGGAAATTTACAAAATAATGCTGTAAAAACTGTTCTTTACAAGAACTATTAGGTTATCTAAAGACAACAAAACCCAATAAGAAAGTCAAGGTCACCTTTTCAAATCTCATGCTTTGCTGAATCATAATGGGGAACGCAGAAGGAAAGCTGTTTGTCTCCAGGTACTGATTCAGGAGGTAGACCCCGAGGTACACATCTTGCTTGCCAGGCAGGAACACCCCTGGGCAAGAAATCTTAAAAAGAAAGAAAACAACAAACAAGAGAGAGAAAACAGGCTTCGCTTTTGGTTTGTTTGCTTTGTTTCTCTTAAGCTCCTGCAGACACTGACATTTACCCCATCACCTCACTCCCTCACCTGTACCTCCCAGCGCCAACATCCTCCCCTCTGCTCTCCTCACATAGCAAATTCCAGTTCCCTCCCACGTCTCCACCAGGTGTCACAGTCGCGCTCTCCCCGGCTCCTCTCCCCGCCCCTCCAGGATGGTAGTGCGGAAGCGGAAGAGGCTGCTGGGCCGGGAAGCGTCTGTTTAGTCCGGCCGGGTGTCGGGGTCGGGGCCGTCAGCCGCGATGCCGAGTCCCCGGAGGAGCGTCGAGGGACGGCCGCTGGGCGTCTCCGCCTCGAGCAGCAGCAGCAGCGGCAGCCCAGGCAGCCCTGCCCATGGCGGCGGCGGCGGCAGCAGGTTTGAGTTCCAGTCGCTGCTCAGCAGCCGCGCTACGGGCGTCGACCCCGCCTGCGCCCGGCTCCGTGCGTCGGAGAGCCCGGTGCACCGCCGCAGCTCCTTCCCCCTGGCCGCCGCGGGCCCCTCGCAGGCGCCCCCGCCTCCGCTGCCCGAGGAGGACCGCATGGACTTGAACCCGTCCTTCCTGGGCATCGCTCTGCGCTCCCTGCTGGCCATTGACCTATGGCTGTCCAAGAAGCTGGGGGTGTGCGCGGGAGAGAGCTCGTCGTGGGGCAGCGTGCGACCCCTTATGAAGCTGCTGGAGATTTCGGGACACGGCATTCCCTGGCTGGTGGGCACCCTCTACTGCCTGTGCAGGAGCGACAGCTGGGCCGGGCGCGAGGTGCTGATGAACCTGCTCTTCGCCCTGCTGTTGGACCTGCTGCTGGTGGCCTTGATCAAAGGGCTGGTCCGCAGGCGCCGCCCGGCCCACAACCAGATGGACATGTTTGTCACTCTCTCGGTGGACAAGTACTCCTTCCCGTCGGGCCATGCCACAAGGGCCGCCCTGATGTCGAGGTTCATCCTGAACCACCTGGTGCTGGCCATTCCACTGAGGGTGCTGGTGGTTCTGTGGGCCTTCGTCTTGGGCCTCTCCAGGGTCATGCTGGGGCGGCACAATGTCACCGACGTGGCTTTTGGCTTTTTTCTGGGATACATGCAGTACAGCATCGTGGACTATTGCTGGCTTTCACCCCATAATGCTCCCGTCCTCTTTTTACTGTGGAGTCAACAATGACACCATCTCATTGATTATGGCACCAGGAAGTCCGAAGGTTCGAATGTGGAAACATTCGATGATGCCAACCTAAACCAGCAGCCATCCTGCTTGTCCCTCTTAGGCATTTCAGGCTTCCTTTGGGATTTCAGGTGTCCCATCATCTTGATGTGCTGCTAGGCTGGAGCACATGCCGGCCATTGCTGAACACAGCCATTTTAGGGAAAACAAACAAAACAAAACAAAAAAACCCAAAACCCTCTTGTATATTTATTCAACAACTGTTTATATCGCCAGGACAACTGCAAAGAAGCCAAGCTGAGGTGGCTATACTGTTGCTGTTTTTCAAAAGTTGTTATCAGTAAGATTTGTGTTTTGTGGTAATCCCTAAATCAACATATCACTTGTAAACTGAACTTTGAGAAACATCTTCATTCTGTAAATATTCATGCAGACAGGCCACATAATAATCCTAGACCTTTTCCTGAGGTAGATTTTAAATAGTATTTTTAAAGTCAAAGAGACTTTAAAAATAGGTTTTTCTAATTTATTCCCTGAAGATCTGTTGCCACAGTTGGGAGATTTCTTCTTAATCCTGATTTTCTTGGTAAGCTTTTTTACTTTATTATCTCTTTAATTTATTATCTCTCTCTATCCATATTTGTGGATAGGGTCGTGGGAAAAGAGATTATAATACTTGTCTTTCTCTCCTCTCACTCCATCCCTCAAAAGATCTTGATTTCCCACTACTCCTTGCCTTTTAACATTCAGAGAAAAAGCCAAGAACTTGCTTAAAGAGGAAACGCTTAAAAGGTAGGCATATCTAAGATGCTCATAGAAAAGAAAGAATGGGACATGGCCCCATGCTTATTTCTGTTTACAACCTAACATGGCATGAGAGAGGGCAGAAAAACTAAGTTGCTGGGGAGAGTCAGAGGAACTGAAAGTTTGTAAATAGGCTGACCACGTTATGCCAGTTACCAGTATGACAGGAGATGGAGCCCTGCTGCCAGTCATCTCCACTGAATAATGTTCCTCTAGCAGGGTAGTAAAATGGGGAAAGAATGTCGCCTCAATGCAAAAACGTTTTCTCATATATACCTGTATGCTACAGTTTTTCACATGGAATTCCGTTTTCCGAAGCACATTTTAGGTAACAGTATTTAACTTGAAATTCATCAGGGGAGTCTGCTGCTATACCAGGCACAAAGTATAACACCTAAATTTCTGTTTACATTGACCTTTACATTTAAAGCTATTCATCCATGGTGCCTCCCCAAATCATAAGACCAAAGACCACCAAACGCAGGGTGGGCTCTGCTCATTATTCTTTTACCCAGAAAGACTGGAGAAGGTATGTGCTTTAAGTGCTGCTCTGCCTGAAAAGAAATCCTTTAAATTACCTATGGAAGTGTTGTCCTTAGATAATCTTAATGACTATCTTGGCATTTATAAATAGAAATGATTATGGACTTTTATCTACCATACTGAGGTGCGGATAAGAACCTAGAGAATGGCTGTGATAAGTATGTTTTGATTGAGTGAAACCATGAACTTGTTGAGAATGAGGGGCACACTGAAAAAGGAACAGCTATGCCTCAAAATCAAATGATTTGCATTCCCACAACACCCTGAACACCAACTACCTCTTGACTTGCTAAAGCAGCTAAACTGTGAAATTCTAAGTGGTTTGGGTTTGTTGTTTAACCTTAGGGAGATTGTTTTGACTGCAGCAATATTCAGGCCAGATATTTGGAAGCAAATGATATTTCCTCTTGCAGTGTCCACAAATCTGAATATTAGGGGCATGAAATTAAGCTTACCATTTGGTTCAAAATTACCCTTTTGGAATTCCCTGTTTTAGTTGCTGGGGCCTGAGTTTTCTGGCTTTTAAAGCATAAATCAATTTCACCTGATGTTTTTGAAGCATCCTAAGTACTGTGGAGTAGAAAACGATTTCTTTGTTAATTGTACACTGAGGAATGCCTTTTAAAAATCAAAATAAAATTAACCAATAATGTTGAACAAAGCGAGATGAAAACTTGCTTCATTTTTGCCTTGATGAGGAGGGAAACTGCTTTATCACTTAGCTTCTCAAGAGTTCCTTCATCTTCCTGCACAATTTTGAGAGCTTAAAACTGGTATGGCATGACTAATATGGTCTAGCCTTATTTGCTGTCAGCAAAGTGGGACAAATCCAGGAAGTTTTGATCACCTTTGTTTCACAGCCGCATGTATGATGAAACATCCGTTGGCATTTGCGAATTGGATGGAGGCTAGCCAGATTCCATGACAATTTTCTGTTAGCATTGTGCTTGTAATGACAGCCACTGCATGACATTCTGTCACTAACTACATGGAAGGATTGTAACATGGAAATTGAAATAAGAGGGAATGACAGACCCTCAAGTAGGAACCATGGAGTCACTCTTCCACAGCACCTCACTTAGGAAAGACTTGGTGGTTAATTACAAAATATTTGTTGATCGATTGATTCCCCTTTTGGAATTAGCAAGCCAGGGCCATCACTAGGGGGAAAATAGCATAGAAAATACCTGATTGGTTCATAGATTTGGCAAATAATCAGGAAGCGATGAAGCTGTTTAAAATTATTCCCTGGTTACTTAAGTTTAAAATTCTTTCACAAATCTTTATCCAGGAGAAGAAAATAAAATTTCACCTGGACTTAATGCAGGGTTGCTTCAAAAGAACAAAAAATTCATGATAAAGGTAAGAAACATGTTAGAACAGGAAAAAAAAAAAAAAAAGTGGGAACAGGTGGAGCTGAATTAAAGGGCAGGAAGTCTGGGAAGACCAATATGGAGAATCTTTTGGACTAAGGTACGATTTGTCCCAGAAAATAATGTGTTTGTGGTAAGTAGGGGACATGGGAGAGGATTGTTGAAAACCACCTGAGAGCGTTTAAGATTCCGACTTGAGGTTAAGGAGGGGAGTTCACTGATCTCTTACCGCCCGGATCTGCAGCTCCACCACCACCTCCAGAGGCATCGTTCCCTGCGTGGGCGAAAGGACTAGCGTGAAAAGATCCTTTTGTGCCGAGCCTTGGACCAATTTTTCTTAGTTTAGCTCAATCCCTAGAGCAAACGTTCCCAGAAGCTTCCCCAGCCCCACTCCCCCTTGTTCCCCCATCCGTCCCCCACGAGCCCGGGTCCCTCCCACCGGGACGGATCTCTCACACTCTAAGCTGGAGTGCAGGCTTCCAGAAGGCGGAAGCATGGCGTTGCCAAGGACACTCAAACGCGCAGTCTTCCGTAGTGGAACGCGCGCGAGGCCCCAGCGCAGGCGCACGCACTCCCGGTGCGCCGCCTGGAGGCGCCGGCGCGGTCGCCCACGCAGTGCCCTAACCAGAGAGACTGGCCTTGTGTGGCGTGGTAGGCGAATCGAGAATTGCTAACAATACCAGATTTCTTTCCATCAGCTCCTGTTATTCTCAATTACCATGTTAAAATGTTTACCGTTTCCCTTCTAAAAGTAGAATGAGATTACAGCTTTGTTACAATTTAAATAGTTATACATGTTTAGTAGCTGCACGACCCCCAAGCCTTGGAATTTCTGGAACAATTCTCATTTAATATAGTTGCCTGTACTAATAGTAGTCTTTTGCTTATTAAATGTTAGGCCCTCATATTTGCTTTGGAAAACATGGCCATAACAATAAATTAGAAATACAAGGCTAATTCTTAAACAGATTTAAAAGTTAGGTATCCCGTGTTAACAACAATAGAAGTATGTCATTCTCTCCATAAAGGTGTCCAGCCTTTTCTGGGGTTTTGTTTAAGGCGAGGATTAAGTAGCCCAATGGGTTGTTACTATATTTGCCAAAACCACAGCTACCCTGTAAAAACCATCAGAGGTGATGGACATAGCAAGAGTTCTGAATGAATAGGGGAGATTCACTATGTCTAATAGACAATAATGAAGGAAAGGAGAAGGTAGTGGCTCCTTCTAGCAATCCAAAAAATCTAGTAAGGCCAATGCTGTCTCTGAAAAAAAAAATTTTTAATCCTAAATTGTGTTGTCATTTATTACTTGTATTTTGCCTTAGAGAGTTATACAATTGGAAATAGTGCAGAAAAATGGTCAAAACAAGATTAGGTATTTATTTCCCTGGAAGGGAAAGACTTGGTACAATGAAGAAGGGCATTCTGTATCCTTATCCAATTCCTAGTGCTGTGTGTCTCTGCGTACCAAGAGATACAGGTGGAAACCTAGCTAACTATAGTGTCCAGATCACTGACTTGTCACTCATAACTTGCTGACACCCAGAATGATGTGGGACAGGGCTTGCGATTATCCTAATTTATCACTGAGGCTATCTACCTCTGTAGGTCACCAGCACCAATGCTAAGAAATCAAGGAGAGTGACGAGCAAAACTAATAAATAGCTGGAGATGTACAGGGAGAGAAGAATCAGTATTTTTTATTTTTTGAGACAGAGTCTCAACCTGTCACCCAGGCTGGAATGCAGTGGCACAATCTCAGCTCACTGCAACCTCTGCTTCCCAGGGTCAAGCAATTCTCCTACCTCAGCATCCCGAAGTAGCTGTGATTACAGGCACACGCCACCATGCCCAGCTAATTTTTGTATTTTTAGTAGAGACGGGTTTCACCATGCTGACCAGGCTGGTCTTGAACTCCTGACCTCATAATCCACATGCCTCAGCCTCCCAAAGTGCTGGGATTACAGAGGTGAGCCATCGTGCCTGGCCATGAATCAGTCTTTATTGAGGATCTGCAAAGTGCTAGGCACATTGCATATGCTAATTCATTTCATCCCCACAATAACTCTCAGGGAAATATTATCCCTATTTTACAGATGCAGAATCTGAAGCTAGACAGTCTTTTACTAAAAGCCACAGACCTAATAAGGGAGCAGCCACATTTGAATCCAGTTGTGCCCTACCACGTCACTGGGTCTGCAACATAGACATCTTGTTGATCTCTAGAGACACAATGTTTCATACTATGCCCTTCCTAGTCTTAACTCTTGATCTAACTGGACTCTCCTTGCTTGGCTGCTAGGGCACAGCTCTCTTCTGGTTTCCCTCCAACTTTCTGGTCATTGTTTCTCTGTCTGTTTATCCTCCTCTGCCTAGCTAAGCAATGTTTGTAGGTCCTTTCCTTTCCTCACTCTACCCTTTATTTACAGTGTCATCCATTGAAACTTAGAGTGTCAGGTTTTGATTAACACGTACACAGATTTACATACCCCACCAAGATCTCTCTTCTGCTGCCCCTGACAAGGTGGAATCTCAATATCATATCTTATATCATACACATAAATATGTGTCTCCTCTTTGTAGCAACTGCCATAATAGCAGTTTTACATTTGTTCCTGTGACTGTTGATTACTATTCGTCTCCATAATCTGTAAACTCTGCATGGCTAAGTGTCTATACCCTAAATAGGATAGAAGATACTCAACAAATATTTTTGAATATTAAATGCAGAGATGGTCAAACCAACCTGTAGGGGTTAACGTACGTCGGTAAAGAGAGGTCCCATCACATGGGGTAAAAGAAATCTGTGGAATTAGAAAGGACCAGGCACAGCTACTTCTGCTAGTCTGCTATGGTGATATTAAATGAGTCGATGAGGATACTTCACACTCTCTTAATTGTCCCCACCCGCCGTGGTCACCTGAGGCTCTCAGCTGCTGTGGAAATGTGGAAGTTGCTGCTTACATGATGCCTCTCACTCATCTTGCGAAGTAATTTATCATTGAGGCTGTCTAACTCTGCAGGGAGCCAACAAAGCCTTTTAAGGATTGAACTGTCACCACTTCAAAAGAAAGGCTTTATTACCTGGGTAGTTACCTCTTGGTGACAGCAAACATTTCAATGAACAACCTCTATTTCCAGAGAGTGTCTGCAGTGCAGCTTGGCCAGCAATGACATCAGCATTGCAGAAATGATACAGCAACACAATCCTGTTCACATCCTGGCCCCAGACAAGAAAAAGAAACATGCCCCAGATGGGGATTTTCCAAAGAGTAAATTAAAAAAGAACAAGAATATGACAGATAATTATGGCTCAGATTTTTCTTTTAACTAAAAAAATTAATTATAAGACAGAAAAATCATAAATATTTGAAATAATAGGTGTATTCATAGGAAAGGAAGAAAATATTAAAAAGACAGCACTAATAGGAAGGGTATGGGAAAACACATTGATGAATGTAAATACATACAATGTATTCGTTTTCTATGGCTACTTAACAAATTACCACAAATTTAGGGGCTTAAAGCAAGACATTTATTATCATATAACTTCGTGAGAAGTCCAACACAGATCTCACTGCGTTAAAATCAAGATGCCAGCAGGGCTGCATTCCTTGCCTTTTTTGTTTTCTTGCTTTTCTAGAGGTTGCTCTTACTTCTTGGTTTAAAGTTCCCTTCTTTCGTGTTCAAAAGTGGCTAAATAGAGCCAAGTCTTCTCATGCTGCCACCTCTCTGGTTCTGTTTCCTTTTTTTTTTTTTTTGAGACGGAGTCTCACTCTGTTGCCCAGGCTGGAGTGCAGTGGGCGATCGCAGCTCACTGCAACCTCCACCTCCTGGGTTCAAGCAATTCTTTTGCCTCAGCCTCCCAAGTACCTGGAACTACAGGTGTGTGCCACCACGCCCGGCTAATTTTTGTAATTTTAGTAGAGACAGGGTTTTATCACATTGGCCAGGCGGGTCTCAAACTCCTGACCTCATGATCCACCTGCCTACGTCTCCCAAAGTGTGGAGATTACAGGCATGAGCCACCATGCCCGGCCTCCATTTCACTTTTAAGGGCCTTCATGATTGCATTGGGAACACCCAGGTAATCCAGGATAATTTCCCTAATTTAAGGTCAGCTGATTAGCAACCTTAATTCCATCTACAACTTTAATTTCCCCTTTACCATGTAAGGTAACATATGCACAGATTCCAGGGATTAGGATGTGAATATCTTTGGGGGCCATTATTTTGCCTATTATGTATAACTTCTCTGAAGAGCAATTTGATAATGTCTGTCAAAATGTTTAATTGGACTCAGCAATTCTACTACTAGGAATTTATCCCATGGGTATACTTTCACAAAAACATATGATACACAATTATTTCTACTTAAAAAAATACTGGAAACCAACTAAATGTTCATTAGTTAGGATTGGATTAAATCAGTTATGGTTTAGCCATATGGTGGAATATTATGCAGCATGGAAAAAGAATGAGGCAGACAAAAGTTATACATTCTAAAAGTAAATAGTCTCTAAAATATAGAGCCAAGAAAAAAATGGCATAAAAATGTATACAGTGTGCTGCCATTTGGGAAAGAAGAATAATATTATATCTACATATATGCTTAGAATATCCCTGAAAGGATACACTGGAAGCTGCTAATAATCTGTGCCTCTGGGGAGGGACCCAAGGTGGATGGGCAGAGAGGAAGTTATTTTTCATTAAATATCTTTAGGTACTTAAAAATATATTTTTGCCAAGGACTTACATTATTTAGTCCAAAAAGGAAGCCACCTTAAAACAAGTAGAAAATGTAAAATAATAGAAAGGATTGGTCTGGGAATATCGAAAGGAGCAGAAACTGGCTTCTTCAGCTTTTTTAGCTAAATTGTATATATAGTATACCATAAAAATATCCATGCAAGTGTGTCTGCCATTCTGCTTCCAGTGCAGGCCTTATCCTGTGATTCTTGGCTATCTCAGGGGTCATAAACCTCCTGAAATGATAGGCAACATTTTCCACATGTGCATATATGCATTTGTCCAGAAAAGAGTCTGTAGCTTTCATAATCTGAAAGGGGAAGGTTAGTCAAGTCAGGTTTTATGACACTGTTCAGTGCATGCTGAGCCTTCTTCCTGCCATCAGTTCCCCACCTACAGCAAAATGAAAGGCCACCTGGGTTATCAGACAAGGTCGCAGGTAAGAAAAGAAGGGCTGTTCTCTCCATCACATCCATACTCCCTTATTAGAGCAAAAAGACAGCTGTATTCCATAATAATTAAAAAAAAAAAAAAAAAGACCTTCAAAGTCCTGTTCTAAGCCATTTGTTTATGTCTGAACTCAACAGACTCATTTGTCGGGCCCTACAACCTTTTAAGCCAGTGAATTATTCATTAGCAAGTATGAATAACACCAGCAGATTTAGTTTCCAAAGTGAGTTCGTCATTTGCTTTTGCCTGCAAAGGAAGAAACACAAAAACAAAAAACACCCAAGAACATGAAGTGATCTGGATTATTTCAGTAGTAGTGCATTTCCAGGTCATTGATTTTTTCTTTTAAAGCATGGCCCAGCCTCAAGACCCAAGAAATAATTGTCTTATATTTGGCCTTCTCCAAAGTCTTTCTCTAAAATTTTCTATAATAGTTTAGTTTTATCATACTCTGATATGGAAGAAAGCTTTACCTTTCTCACTTTTGTGTGTATGAGAAAGCCCAATGAACTACACTAAGTTCTTTCCTTGGTTCTAACAAATAGCATAAAGATGAAGTATAGCAGGGCACAGTGGCTCACGCCTGTAATCCCAGCACTTTGGAAAGCTGAGGTGAGCAGATCACCTGAGGTCAATAGTTTAAGACCAACCTAACAAACATGGTGAAATGCTGTCTCTACTAAAAATACAAAAATTAGCTGGATATGGTAGCAGGTGCCTGTAATCCCAGCTACCTGGGAGGCTGAGGAAGGAGAATCGCTTAAACCTGGGAGATGGAGGTTGCAGTGAGCCGAGATCATGCAACTGTACTCCACCCTGGGCAACAAAGCAAGACTTAGTCTCAAAAAAAAGATGAAGTATGTGTGCATATACATACATATATATATATACATATAATATATACATATGTGCATATTTACTATATACATATATACACATATATAATTTATATAATATATATTATTAAAATAATATCCTTTGGCAAACTTTACATTATATCCTTTGGACAAACTTTACACTAGAGGAATCTGGCTGTCATCATATGAACTCACTGATCAATTCCAGCCCCACTCTACATTATTATAGTTAACATTATATACTTCCCTATGTGATTCATAGGAAGTACCTATGAAGCACATTTACCAAGAAAGTTGTAGCTGAATCTAATCAACTACACTGAGAGTTGCACTGTCCAATAATAACAATATGGTGGCCATTTATAGCTATTTAACTGAACTAAAACGAAATACATTATTTATTTATTTGCGACGGAGTCTCACTCTTGTCACCCAGGCTGGAGTGCAGTGGCACGATCTTGGCTCACTGCAACCTCTGCCTCCTGGGTTCAAGTGATTCTCCTGCCTCGGCCTCCCAAGTAGCTGGGTTTACAGGCACCCGCCACCATGGCCAGCTAATTTTTTTGTGTTTTTAGTAGAGACAAGGTTTTGACATGTTGGCCAGGCTGGTCTCGAACTCCTGACCTCAGGTGATCCACCCGCCTCAGCCTCCCAAAGTGCTTATAGGCATGAGCCACCATGCCCAGCCAACTAAATACATTTAAAATGCAGTTCCTCACTTGCATTAGTCACTTTTAGAGCACACATAGCCACATGTTGCCAGTAGCTACTGGTATTAGATAGTGCAGGAAGAATATTTCCATCATCATAGAAAGTTCTAATGGGCAGCATTGCTCTAGAGTTAATTTCATTTAAAGGAAATATGGAGGATAGAGAAATATGGAGGATAGAGAAACATGTTAATGACAACACATGGAAGCAGGCAGACATATTTAATAGCATGCAGGACATTCCAGCACATACGTTCAATCCCAGCTGCCTGAGAGGCTGACGTGGGAGGATCAACCAAGCCTGAGTGGGCGAGGCTGCAGTGAGCCATGATTGTGCCATGCACTCCAGTCTGGCCCACAGAGTGAGACCCTGTCTCAATAAATAAGCAAATACACAAATAAATAGAATCTGGGACATTCTAATGGACAACTAACCCAGTTATTCTGCCATAAATCAATTGCATTTAAAAAAAAAAAAAAAAAAAAGGAAGAGGTGAGGGAACAGATCTAGATTAAAAGACACTTAAGAGACCTCACAACCAAGTGGAATATGTGGACTTTGTTGGGACATTAATTCAAACAAACCAAATGTAATATTTGAGACTATTAGGGAAATTTGATTATGATTTGGGCATTAGATAATACCAAGCAATTAATTTTGATACATATGATAATGCCCTTGTAAGGCAAATATTAATGTTGTTTAGAGATATATATTAAGGTATGTAGTGGTGGTAAAATGACTTAATGTCTAAGATTTTGCTTTTAAGTATTCCAATCAATGAATAAAAATAATAGATAAAGGAAGTGCTGTAAAATCTTGATAATTATTGACTCTGGATGATGAATGAATGGTGTTTCTGTAATTCTATTCTTTTGTGTGTTCAAAAACTTCACAATAGGCATGGTGGCTGACACCTGTAATCCCAGTGCTTTGTGAAGCAGAGGCCAGAGGATTGCTTAAGGTCAGGAGTTCAAGACCAGCCTAGGCAACCTAGTGAGACCATGTCTACATTAAAAAAAAAAATAGCTGAGCATAGCAGTAGGAGACTGAGGCTGGAGGATTCCTCAAGCCAAGATGTTGAAGGCTGCAGTGATTTTGCCACTGCACTCCAGCCTGGGTGACAGAGCACAATTTGTCTCTTAAAAAAATCATAATAACAATTTTTAAAAAATTTTTAACATATACAATTCCCTTCAATATGGGTCTTACACATACTGAAAGATAAAATACAATGGATCTATTTACCTCAAATGCAGATAGGATGAGAAAATTATTGTGGTGTGTAATAATACCTTACAAGTAATTCAGACGGACATCCATTTAAAAGGAAAAAAGTAGCTCTGTATTATAATAGTGATCTCTGCATGAATATCCAAAACAGGAGCTGGCAATTTGAGATTTCTTTACATATACACACTTCTCAAGAATTTTGCATGAATCTTCCAAGGAAGGAATCAAATTGCAATTGCACAGTTTTTAACAATCTTGAAGTCATCTGGGATCTGGACTCACACATGGGTTCTGTTTCACAAAACTTTATTAGAGTTCATGAGTCAGACTCATATGTTACTCTTTGGCTTGCACTTTGATTTACTGGCATTTGTAGGCTCAATGCTTACATAATGATGCCACACAAGCCCTTCCATAGGGCTGCCCTTGGGGATTTTGGACTACATAGTCTTTCCATTTAAAAGTAATTTCTACTCAGAAAAAAATCAATTTGCTCCTTTGAGTTTCAGCTGGCTAGCTCTATGTCCATGGAAGTAGTAGGCAAATTATGACCCAAAGCAATTTCTAAGGAATTTTATTTATTATCCAAAATAAGAAAGTAGAAGAGTATGATTACATTCCAAGACTTGCTTAAAAAATGTCTACTGGAGCTGGGCCTGGTGGTGCATGCCTGTAATCCCAACCACGTGAGAGGCCAAGGCAGAAGGATCTCTTGAGCCCAGGAGTTTGAGGCCAACCTAGGCAACATAGCAAGAACTGTTTCAAAAAAATAAAAATAAAAAAATGTTTACTATGCGAGGGCATAGGATTCTGACCCTGAAGTCAGCAATAGCTCAAGATGAGGCCACTTCTGATGTCATTATATCCACTCCTTAGCTCCTACCAAAATATACTTCTTTCTGTTCTCTTTTTACCATCTTCTGCCTTTATTTAACCTTTTCTTTTATTCTTGTTTCCATTGATTCATTATCCATTTATTCAGCACACATTTACTAAGTGTCTACTGTAAGCCAGGTACTATTCTGAGCCATGTATGTACCAGGGTGAATAAGAAACAATCTGTCCTCTCATAGAGCTTACATTCTACTGGGGGAAGAAACATAATAACTAAGTGAACATAAAATAGTATGATGAATAGTAGAAAGGAAATATGCAAGGTGGTGAGATAGAAGGTTACAGATCAGAGAATAAATGAGAACCTCATCTAGACTCATTCGCTAGATTGGCATAAGGGTATGAGATTTTATCTAAGATCTATGAGGAGAAGCATGACCAGTAGCAAGCCTTTTAAAGTAAGCGAAAAGATATTCAGGCAAAGGGAACAGCAACTCCAAAGGGCCATGAGTCAGGAAAGGAACTGGTATGTTTGAGGAACTGAAAGAGGGCCAAGAGAGATATCGGGGTAGGAAAGGGCAAGGAAGGTGTTAAGGAAAGGGTTTAAGAAATGACATTCAGGCCTATAATCCCAGCACTTTGGGAGGCCAAGGCGGGTGGATCACGAGGTCAAGAGATCGAGACCATCCTGGTCAACATGGTAAAACCCCGTCTCTACTAAAAATACAAAAATTAGATGGGCTTGGTGGAGCATGCTTGTAGTCCCAGGTACTCGGGAGGCTAAGGCAGGAGAATTGCTTGAACCGAGGAAGCAGAGGTTGCAGTGAGCCAAGATCGTGCCATTGCACTCCAGCCTGGGTAACAAGAGCGAAACTCCGTCTCAAAAAAAAAAAAAAAAAAATTAGAAGAAATGACCCTCAGGGCCGGGCATGGTGGCGCATGCCTGTAATCCCAGTACTTTGGGAGGCTGAGGTGGACGGATCACCTGAGGTCAGGAGTTCAAGACGAGCCTGGCCAACAGGGCGAAACCCGGTCTCTACTAAAAATACAAAAATGAGCTGGGTATGGTGGCACATACCTGTAATCCCAGCTATTCCAGAGGCTGAGGTGGGGGAATTGCTTGAAACCAGGAGGCAGAGGTTGCAGTGAGCTGAGATCGTGCCACTGCACTCCAGCCTAGGAGACAGAGTGAGACTTCATCTAAAAAAAAAAAAAAGAAAAGAAAAGAAATTACATTCTGACATTCAGGAGTTAGGCTGCCATTTGGTTGCACAGGAACTTTAACAGATATGGCAGAGAATGTGATTGCCTACCTTACACCATAAACTCTTCCTCCTTGCTAACAGAACTCCAGTTTTGTTTAGGTAGCAATGCATCCAGCTCCAGAGAATGAATCATAATTTATTTAAGCCAGTTCTCGCCAGTAAGATATATGGACTTCACTAGAAGCTTTTGAGAAATATCTTTATTCTTCACGAGAGCCACAAGTGAATAAAGCTGTTTTGCCTTCTCCTCTCTCTTCCTGCTTTAGCTTCTGCCATGTTTTGATGTGATGTCCACAGCTGTAGCAGCCATCCTGCAACCATGATGTAACAAGCTGAAGAGAGAAGTCGACAGATTTAGGATGATAGAGAGGAGGGATAGGAATTGAAAGAACTTGAATCTTTTTTTTGTTTGTTTGAGACACAGTCTCACTCTGTTGCCCAGGATGGAGTGCAATGGTGAGATCTCGGCTCACTGCAACCTCCACCTCCCAGGATTACAGGCACACAACACCACACCTGGCTAATTTATATATTTTTAGTAGAGACGGTGCTTTGCCTTGTTGGCCAGGCTAGTCTTGAACTCCTAGCCTCAAGTGATCCACCTGCCTTAGCCTCACAAAATGCTGGGATTACAGATGTAAGCCACCACACCTGGCCTGAACCTGAATCTTTAATGAGATCTTCGAACTGCTAAGCCTATCCTGGGATAATTCTTTTTGTTAAATAGACAATAAGTGTCCTTACAGTTTAGGTTTCTTTTAGCTGGGGCTTTAGTTATTCGCATTGAAAGCATATAATGGATACAGCAGGAGTGAGACATGGTATGATTTGTGTATTTTAAAAAAATGTCTCTGGCAAGAGTATGAAGAGACTGTAAGGAGCAAGAGTGGAACAGAAGCAAGGAAGACTACTACAGTAGTTCTTAGAAGCAATCATAGTATTCTGGCCTAGGGAGGATGCAGTAAAGATGGAGAGAAGTACATAGATTCAAGGTGTATTTGGGGGTAAAAACAGCAGGACTTGTTGTTGGTGTGAGAGGTAAAGGAGAGGGAGGAACTAAGCTGAACTCTAGGTTTTGGACTGGATGGTGATGCCATTGATTGACACGGAGAAGACAGAGTTTGGAGAAGGGGTTGACATCAAGGGTTTGGATGTATTACATTTAAGATGTGTATGAACCATTCAAAAAGAGATGTCAAAGAAGCAGGTAGACATGAGTCTGGAGCACAGGGGTAAGGTCAGGACTTGGATTTCAAATTGGGAATTATAGATACACAGATGTTATTTAAAGCCGCAGGAATAGACAGGATTCTCCCCACTGGCCAAAATATGAGGAACTCTAAAATTAGAGATCAGCTAGGAGGGAAGAAGACTAAGGAGAAGTAGTGAAAGAGGTATGAGAAAAAACAACGGCATCAGCGTTTCTATAGGGCTTACTTTACGCTAGGCACTATTCAAAGCACCTTATGGCTTCATGGAAACAAAAATAAAAATGTTTTCCTTTTCTTTTTTTCCTCCCTTTCCAGTCTCTTCTGTGACTTTCATCCCTAAATTCAAAAGGGTTAGGTGCGAAAGTGATTCTGAGCTTTTATTTGTAATTAATTAATTTTATGGTAATCTGGTACTGTTATAATTATTATTATAGTATACTTTAATTGGAAAAATATTCAAACAGCACAGTACAGAGAAGCTAAATGTGGAAAGGAAAGATCCTCAGAAGCTTTCCTTCCCAGGCTCACCTACCAGAGGTAATCATTCATTCAGTTTCCTGTATAGCCTCCAGGAATGTTCTAGACACACACGCGCACACACACACACACACACACACACACTCACACTCTCTCTGCACACAAACAAATACAATCTCTCTTCCCCTCTCTCTGTATACCTACACACATATGTTTAATTCGGCAAGTTGCTTTTTAAAAATTCAATACCTTTAGGAGGTATTTCTGTATCAGCATATTTTGCTACAATTTACTTTTTAAAAAACAGATAATTTCCCATTGTATTAAGATTCCATAATTTAAGTTTCTCTATTGATGGACAACTAGAATGCTTTTCTTACTTACTCCCCACCCCCACACACACACACACAATTGCTGCCAAAAATCTTTGTAGATAAATCTTTGGATATTGGTGCAAAAATAACTGTTGCATACTTTTTTGGTGAAATTGCTGAATCAATCTGCTCAAGCCTTTCACATTGTCAAATCACTACTCCCAAAAGGTTACACGAATGACATTCTTACATCATTTCCCTACGTCTTGGTATACATTTGGTATTAAGCGACTTCACAAATTCGCCAATCTAAATACATGGGAAAAAAATGTCGTCGTGTTGTTTTTATTTGGGTCTCTATGAGTAGGGCAGCAAGACCTGATTGTTAAACGTGCAAGTTAAGTTAAACTCCCTGGGCTGGATCCTACCTCTTCCTCGTAAAATGTATGATCTCGGGCATGTCGGGTCTATTTCCTCGCCTCAAAAAAAGGGGATAGAGAGAGCACATATCTTTAGGCTTAAACAAGATACGTAGGAATACAGGAAGCCCTCCTTATACATTCGCTATTAGCGGTACTGATCCTAATTTTTTGAACCCGTGCTCGCTCCGGTACTTTATTTTTGGTGTACTCCTCCAACCAACCAAGTTTCTCAGAATTCTGTTTTTGCTTGTAATTAGAAATGAGAGGAAAATTGGCTCCGCTTACTCAAAATTTTCCTCCTCCCACCCCAGCTCTGCCTTAGAATCACTGGTTTCAATGTCAATGTAAAGGAATGAGTCGCAATTTTGAAGCAACATGCAAAGTGGACACCCGGTCTCAGGACCTCCCGGCAGCCAGGACCCGCCGTTTTTGGCGTAGGGAACAGCACATAGCAATATCTAACACTACCGAACAAACGTTTCTCCACCCACAGCGCCATCAGCTGTTAAAGCTCCAGTGCCGAAATACTCCAAAGAACGGTGCTTAAAACAGGAATATAATTGCAGATCCAGCCCCTACAGGCAGGTCCAGGAACGCGCCTCCACAGAGCCGCCCCAACAGGAAGTGACGCACCATGCCGACTATTTCTTCCGCTGTCCGCCGGTGGCGAGGCCCAGGCTATCGCGGGGTGTGCATTGGCGTCGCGGCCAGTAGAGGGATTCTGGGTAACGGCCCCGGCCGGCTAGGGCTTCTGGCTCGGCGCAGCAGGTTCCACTCACGCCAAGTCAGTTGGCAGTGGCAGTTGTAGGGCCGGGGGCGGTTGTAGGACCCGGGGCAGCCGGACATGGAGCAACCGTGGCCGCCTCCGGGACCCTGGAGCCTCCCTCGGGCCGAGGGTGAGGCTGAGGAAGAGAGTGACTTGGATGTGTCCCCCAGTTCTCCCCGCTGCCCGCAGCTGCCGGGCGGCAGCGCCCAGGTGAGAGGGGGCCGCGTTCTGCGGAGGGATGGAGTGGTGCTTTCGCCAAACCCCTGGAATCCCGCGTCTCCCAGACCCTCTCGTACGTCTTTTTTGCGCCCACCTCACTGCTGGGGGCCGGGTGCCGGGGACCTGATGCCTGATGCCATCCCACCCCTTTTATAGCATCTTCGGAGGGGGAACGGAGTGGCCGTATATTACCAACCTCCACCTCTACGCACACCTTTTTTTTCCACCTTGGCTGATTGCTTCTCACGCTTGGAAGACGTTCCTCCATCTCCCCTTCCTGTCAGCACCTAGACTGGGGGCGGCCCGTGCGGTAGCATTGACCCTTTGTCCTCTTGTGAGAGATTTTCCCCGAGCACTTTATTCTGTTAAAGGCTTTAGCATACTTGTGCACAGTTGATAGGCACAGTGAATGGTTGCAGTTCAACATCACACTGAGTCTTGACAAAGATTTCACATTCTGTTTCACCCATATCGACAACTGATTAAATTCTTTAAACCTTGCTTTTGACGCTGGCGTACACCTCTCCCATTCGCCTGTTTTTGCCTTACTATTTTGTTTTTTTAGTTTTGCTTCACATCATTCTCCAGTGAAAATACATATGCAAATACTTGCCTTTTCCTTCAGACTTCTCTTAGGTTCCTGATACTTACTTGTGTTTTCAATCCAGCTTTCTTGCCTTCCTGCGTTTGAAACGTATCCAAATGTGATATATACTATTAAGCCTTTTTTCAGGGACCTATCTTAGGAGATACATACTCATATCACCTTGTCCTGTTTTTTTCTCCAAATCCATGTGTGTTTTGGATGTATATTTGAGGATCACAGACTAAACACTACTATGTGTTCTGCCCCCTTCTTGCAAAATGGGGTTCCCAAGAGTGTAACAGATTTAAGAGTAGTTTTCCTCTCAACTTATTTTGCTAGATGTTAAGTGAGGATGAGTTAAACTGTTTGCCAGTAAGCATGAGATTATCGATCTTATGCCCAGCTAACGGAGTTAGTTGGCTTCACACAGAGAAAAATGCTGTTTCATAACCACAGTCTGTACTGTGGCCAGCTAGTCACTGAGGAACTACAAGACATTTTTTTAGGAGGACAGAATGAGAGTTGATGGGTCTGTCGTTAGTCACCCTCTAATTTTGGATCACTAGTGTCATCTTTATATCAAAATGTATTATAAGCACACGATGTGTTAGGGAGAGAAGGGGAAGAAAGAGTGAACAGCAAGTACCATTGTCAATTTTGAAGGCATATGAAGAGAAAAAAAGGTGTCAAGAATTTCAGTGCATTGTGGTTGAATCACAGAAGTAATCTAGAGAAATATCTGTAAGTTTCTTACTTGTGCACTTATAAATTCGTTTAGCTGGAAGAGATTTTAGAAGTGAGTAAGCTTGTCTCTCTCATTAAAAGTGATTTCCCAGAGGCCGTATAACTAGTTAGTGCCCAAGTTAAAACTAGAACCCACTTACCACTCCTAGTCCGGTGTATTTTCCCACCTACTGCACTACCTACCCTGTGAAGTACTGTAAAACTTTGTCTGAAACCACCTTTAAATGGTACTAAAATTTGCAAAGTGGGCCAGGCATGGTGGCTCACGCCTGTAATCCCAGAACTTTGGGAGGCCAAGGCAGGTGGATCACCTGAGGTTGGGAGTTCGAGACCAGCCTGACCAAGATGGAGAAACCCCGTTTCTACTAAAAATACAAAATTATCCCGATGTGGTGGAGCGTGCCTGTAATCCCAGCTACTCTGGAGGCTAAGGCAGGAGAATCACTTGAACCCAGGAGGCAGAGGTTGCAGTGAGCAAAGATCACCCCACTGCACTCCAGCCTGGGCAGCAAGAGCAAAACTCCATCTCAAAAAAAAATTTGCAAAGTGATTATTAATTCTAAGTTCATGTGTTTATTACACATCTACCTATTGGTCTTGCTGGCTTTAAGACTTAAATTTTTGGCCGGGCGCGGTGGCTCAAGCCTGTAATCCCAGCACTTTGGGAGGCCGAGGCGGGTGGATCACGCGATCAAGAGATCGAGACCATCCTGGTCAACATGGTGAAACCCCGTCTCTACTAAAACTACAAAAAATTAGCTGGGCATGGTGGTGCGTGCCTGTAATCCCAGCTACTCAGGAGGCTGAGGCAGGAGAATTGCCTGAACCCAGGAGGTGGAGGTTGCAGTGAGCCGAGATCGCGCCATTGCACTCCAGCCTGGGTAACATGAGTGAAACTCTGTCTCAAAAAAAAAAAAAAAAAGACTTAAATTTTTAGATTGGAATATTTGGAAAAAATAAAATGTTTAATTGATTAACATTGTATAATATTTAAAAAACAGCTTTGGCTTAATTTTGTCAAATGGGGGGATCTAGACTCCTTAATGTAGTACGTGATATGTAGTTCTGAGATCCAATTAATGTAAAGAAAGACCATGTTTAATGTCCCTCTAAAACTTAATAAAACTAATATTTTATTTAATCACATGTTGGATAGTTTGCCCAAATGGCCAAATGTTGTCTGGGTAGTTTGTGGAGAATTTAGACATAAATTATTTTTAGAATTGTTTGAGTTGAAAAAAGAATATTTGCTCCCAAATGATTTGAAAATTCAAGATATTTCTATGTATCCATATTACTTTTCTTAGAATATTGTCATCTTTCCTTCTTTTTCTAATTTTTTTTTTTCCCAAGACAGAGTCTGACTCTGTCACCCAGACTAGAGTGCAGTGACACAATCTTGGCTCACCGCAACCTGTCTCCCAGGCTCAAGTGATTCCCCTGCCTTAGCCTCCAGAGTAGCTGGGATTACAGGAGCCCACACAGCATCTGGCTAATATTTTTTGTATTTTTATTAGAGACGGGGTTTTGCCATGTTGGCCAGGCTGGTTTTGAACTCCTGACCTCAGGTGATCTACTTGCCTCGGTCTCCCAAAATCAGGGCTTGAAGAGTAATCCAGATATGGGAACAGATTGGAGAGAAATTATTCTGAATAAGCAGTTTGAAGTTGATCTACATTTGACTAAGAAGTCATGAAGAATGTACCTTCAGCTTTTGTTTTAAAGAGCCAAGGAATATAGGGAATTGAATGTGTATAACAGTACTTTACATGTAGTAATTAAGTAAATATTAAAACTAATTACTACTGCTTCTGAGTAGTACAGTCAGCATGATAGACCATTGGCGCTTCAAAGAAATTTAACTTTGCCTATTTTGATTAGGAATAAGTTAAAGGATATCTATCTGATATAATCAATTATAAATAGAAATTTCCAGTAAGGATTTCTCAAATCACCAAGGATTGGAACTATACAGATAGAAAATAGAAACCAAGAAACAGTTACTTCTAGATGAAAGGAGGTTTTTTGGAGTGACGAATTTGCAGAACAAAATTGTAAAGGTCTGTTTGTCAGCATGTTGAGTATTGAGGTGGTGAACTAGATTTAAACTTCATTCTCATTATTCTGTTTGTTGAGGATTATGAAGACTATTAATTAAATGTTAAGCACTAGCTTTATGCATGACACTGTGATAGTTGCCAGGCTTTTTGTTGCTGTTGTCAGGGGATGGACATAAATTAACAAAGAAGTTTAGAATCTAGTTGATGAAATAAGGACTAAGATATAAAAACATGACTGCAGATCTAGAACACAGGATATACTATGTACCAAATTATTATACAGAAATCCTTTGAATTAAAAAGAAATTGAAGTGTGTTGTATAAACATCCATTGCTTTCTTCATTTCTTACAAATATTGTATTTATCCAGATGTATAGCCATGGAATTGAATTGGCTTGCCAAAAGCAGAAAGAGTTTGTGAAGAGCTCTGTAGCGTGCAAGTGGAATCTCGCTGAAGCTCAACAGAAACTTGGTAGCTTAGCACTGCATAATTCTGAGTCCTTGGATCAGGAGCATGCCAAAGCACAAACAGCAGTATCAGAACTGAGGCAACGGGAAGAAGAGTGGCGACAGAAAGAAGAGGCTTTGGTACAAAGAGAGAAGATGTGTCTGTGGAGCATGGATGCCATTAGCAAGGATGTTTTTAATAAGGTATGACCTTTTGTTGAGCCGTAATGAAAGAAGAAAAACTTACATGTTTGTGCAAACCAGTTGTGCATATTTGGTAGCAAAGCAGCAGAATCCCGTAAACAGTGCCCAATTTTGGCAGTTAATGAAAGGTACTTGAAAAGTTTATGAAAGTCAAAAAGTCTCAAAGCACTTGCTCTAGAACTCCAGACTCCAGGCAGTTAATTGACCAGTCTCCAATACATATTTATATAAATGTACTGCCCAACAAATATTACATATATTAAATAACATTCAGAAAAATTTAATATTTATAGGGATAAGAAAATATATGAATTATGAAATATTTTCTTCCACATCTCATATTTTGTACCCACTACATTGATTATCACTACTTTAGAGCTCCTTTAATTCAACCACCTTATTTTTATAAATGAAGAAACTAGAAAAATGAGTAGAGTGACTTGATAACTTAGTGGTGGGTTAAATGTGAAAAATTCCTGACTGTGGGATTGAGAGATAAGATAAAGAGAAGTGTTGAATATCGTTTATTAAGTGCCTTTAAGAATGAAGGCTTACACTTTTAAAACCACGTGTTCTTCAGACTTCAGGGTTTTATACCTCAGTATTCCATTTGAAAACTAAAGTTTCTAGATATTGATTTTCAAATGCTTGAAAAGGGGGGAAAAGGCAAAGCCTAATAACTTCATGAACGAATGTTTTAAATGTGAAATAAAATGATATGTATTGAAAAATAGGCCAGGCTCAGTTGTCCACACCTGTAATTCCAGCATTTTGGGAGGCCACGGCAGGCGGATCACTTGAGTCCAGGAGTTCAAAACCAGTTTGGGTGATGTGATGGAAGCCTGTCTCTACAAAAAATACAAAAATTAACTGAGCATGGTGGCGTGTGCCTGTAGTCCCCGCTACTTAGGAGGCTGAGGCAGGAGGATTACTTGAAGCCAGGAGGTGGAGATTGCAGTGAGCCGAAATCATGCCACTGTACTCCAGCCTAAGCAACAGTGAGAACCCATCTCAAAAAAAAAAAAGAAAGAAAAAGAAAAATAGTGTATATTAAGCCTTATTTGGAGAAACATTTATAAAGAAGTCTGTGAACATGCTGATGAGTACAGATATTTTGGTGTTGATTTTTTTCACTATCCCATAATGGCTGAAAGAAACACAGTTCACAGACGCTAAAAGCTTTTAGCTTTACCACAAAGGTGTATTTTGTATGTTATCTACTGTGAGTGTTCTTTAGGCCTGAAACATCAGAGAATAGGGAGAAAGAGGCCTTCAAATTTCCTTATTTTCCTTAATTAGCCCATGGATATTTCATCTAGGAGTGAATTTGGACTTTAAACCTGTTTTCAACCTTTTTTTTGTGGAAAATTTCAACATACACAAAGTAAACAGATGAACCCCTCAGTCCGCATCAACAGCTGTCATCATTCTGCCATTCTCATTTCATCTGTACCTTCCACTACACCCATTCCTGCATATTATTGTTACTTTTTGTTTAATTTTTGGGTAAAATTTACATACTTTGAGATGCACAAATCTTAAGTGTAAAATCTTTTTTTCTTTTTTTTTTTTTTTACTCTGCTTTAGACTTTGTTTTACTGCAGGAAGGTGTAAAATTTTAACAAATACATTCATGTGTGTAATCTACACTCCTTTGAAGACATGAAATGTAGCACCTAGAAAATAAGTATTTAAATCTTTAGTCTGTAACCTATGGGGCAATGAAATTCAGTCATTTTCTACTAATTTGTCAAGTGGTACTTCTTTATATTAGTACTTCACCCTCAAGTTTCAGGGAAAGACTGCTCATTTTTTGTGTAAGTCCACAATGAATCTTATCTTTTACCATCATTTTCTAGACTTCTTAGCATGTAACGTACTTGTTAATTGTCCTCCTGGCTTTCACCTACCCTCATGAGCATTCTTAATTGCCTTTCCCTGGACCAGCTCTAGTTCTGCTACAGCAGTCAGTAACACACATAGATAAATGTACATCACCACTAATCCTATCAGTACTTTAACAGTGAGTCATATCTCTCTGAACTTTCTCTGTGCCTGTACTAATTTATATATACTTTTTCTCCCCTTCCACAATAGGATTATTCTTTATCTGAATCATTTGCTTTATCTGTATATATTGTTTGAAAGGGGTGCATCTTCTTGTTATTTTCTGTTCTGCATTTATATCCCAAAACTATTAAAATAATTTTTTCTTCCAGAAGGAATGTTCAAAGTAATATTTCTTGTTTTGTAAAATTAATGTCTCTCTTTTAACACAATGGTCACAAAGAAAATATTTCTTTAAACTTAGGTTCTAAGATAGCCTACGTTTATCTCACAAATTAATTAGGACTATCTTTATGTTCCAGTTATTTGCTCAAAATCCTACACTGGTTTTGTCTGGGAGCTTGAGACTTGAGAGAACTGGTCTAGATCTATGCTATCCAACTTGATAGCCACTAGCCACATTTGCTATTGACTGCTTGAAATGTGGCTAGTCTGAATTGAGATGTGCTATAAATGTAAAATACACACCAGATTCCAATGACTTAGTACCAAAAAAAGTAAAATATTAATAATTGTTTTGTATTGCTTACATGTTGAAATGATAACAGATTGGATATGTTAGGATAAATAAAATAATGTATCAATGTCATCTGTTTCTTTTTGCTTTTTAATGTGGCTAATAGAAAACTTTAAATTACATTTAAATTACATTTGCAACTTGGATTATATTTCTATTGGACAGTGCTGATCTATCTAGACTGTAGATAGACTTTAGATCGGCAGACTATATAAAGAAAAAAATATATTATTTTTTTGAGACCCTCTTTTACTGTTGTTGCCCAGGCTGGAGTGCAATGGCATGACCTTGGCTCACTGCAACTTCTGCCCCCTGGGCTCAAGTCATTGTCATACCTCAGCCTCCCGAGTAACTGGGATTACAAGTGCCTGGCACCACACCTAGCTAATTTTTTTGTATTTTTAGTAGAGATGGATTTTCATTATGTTGGCCAGGCTGGTCTTGAACTCCAGACCTCAGGTGATCCACCTGCCTCGGCCCCCCAAAGTGCTGGGATTACAGGCGTGAGCCACTGTGCCCAGCCAGAACAAAATGTTTTATTATGAATTATGTCAACTTTTGAGTGCTTCCTGATTGTAAACTGGCAGTGATCTAGTTTGCAATTTTCATTTTTGGCAGTGATGATAACAGTATAAATGTGATCACACAATGTTCTAAGAAACTTCTGCTAGTTTTTCTAGCTAGACACAAACTTTATTCTTGGTGTATTTTATGACTTATTTAAATGAAAATAAGCACTTCCTTAATAGAAATTTGTACTTGACTTTAAGAATCAAACTGTTTGGCCTCTTCTAAGAAGTTTATTAGAAATTCAACAAAGGGCCAGGTGCAGTGGTGCATGCCTGTAATCCCAGCACATTAGAAGGCCAAGGCAAAAAGATTGCTTGAATTCAAGAGTTCAAGACCAGCCTGGGCAACAGAGCAAGACTTCATCTCTACAAAAATTTAAAAATTAGCTGGGCATGGTAGCTCACACCTGTAGTCCCAGCTACTCTGGAGGCTAAGGTGGGAGGATCACTTGAGCCCAAGAGGTTGAGGCTACAGTGAGCTATAATTGTGCCACTGTACTCCAGCATGGGTGACAGAACAAGACTCTGTCTCAAAAAAAAAAAAAAAAAAAAAAAGACATGCAATAAAGGTCTATTTCTAGTTTATGTCTTAATGAAGAATTTATAGTAAATATACTTTACATGCTTAGAATTTCTGAATTTCTGAGTTTATTTCCAGCAAGAACTCAAAAGATTAGGCAAGAGTTGCAAATATTTATAGGGAATAAATAATGCAAAAGTAAATTATGCATGTAAAATATAAAAGATGTTTCTATACCTACTTTTAATTGAGAGATTCAGCTTACCAAAAAGGTTAATTCAGTTGCTTTTCTAAGATGAACCTATAATTTTCCACATATACATGATTTTAAACAAAATTAATAAGGCTCCCATATAAGAAAATTTTAATTTTAAAAAATAGTTTAACAGATGAATTTAATCATGTGGTATCAGTATGATACTATACCACATATATTGTCTATAGGAAGAATTGCTAGGTATTCAGTATCTGAGAAAGAAGATTCAATTAGAATTTAAAATCTGATTTAAGTTTCTGAAATTTTTTCTTAGAGTTTTATTAATCAAGATAAAAGAAAAGAAACAGAAGTTGAAGATAAATCAGAATCATTTATGCAAAAATATGAGCAAAAAATCAGACATTTTGGTAAGTCTACTTGGGTTTCCTTCTTTGTAATGTTTGGTATCATATGTACATGTGCAATAAATGGATTTATAAAATGAGAGGCAAAAAGAAAAGTGGCAAACTCCAGTTTTGTAATTACTTCTGGCACAGCTGTATAGATCTTGTTTTAGAATTTGTTTTTGTTATAAATAAAATTAATTGACAGAGCAAACCAAATGGCAAAGAGAAGCAAAATTATTATTACATAGTACTACATTCTAAGGCCACTTTATGTATTCCATAGCCTCTTTCCATTTCCTAGCTAGTCTTTGCTTTTTTCATTTTCTTCTTTGCTTTCTTGGAATCTAATTATCTATTGGTTAAAAGATTAGTATTCATTTTTTTCAGGTTTTAGATATGATGCTTCATAATTCAGGCAGATCCTTGAACTGTTACTCGGATAAATATAGTAATAGAAATGTATATATAAATAACTGAAAAATAGTTTTTTTCTACTGTGGAAAAGGGGTAAGAGAGTGGTTGATACAAGTTAAGGCCTCCCAGAGGAGCCAGCGTCTGCACTTGATTTTGAGCAACAGATAGGAGTTTTTCATGTATAAAGGAGGCAAGCCAACAGCAACAGCATGAGAAAGGCAGTTAGGAAACAGCATGGTGTGTTCTGAGAATTATAGGCAGTATGATACTGCTGGCATGAAAATGCTACTGGGAAGTGTTGGTGGTTAAGGTTTAAAACTTTTAATTCCAAGTAGTTTGTTAATTTAGTAAACATGGTTTTTATTTGTAATATGTTCATGAACTTTTTAAATGGTATTTTGAAATCCTTTTTCTATTGGTGTTTTTTTTTTTTTACCTAAAGTTTTTTATTTCATTTATGCTTCAGTTATGTCAATACAAAATATTACTTTCAATTTTTTCCCTTCCTTTCTTGCAAATTGTTAATAAAATATTCACTTTGCTCATACTTTTTACTTTAAAAAAAGAAAAAAGACTGTATTTAACTCAAGAATAGTACCTGAAGAAATAAGGACAAAGTTTTTCTACATAAAATCAATGTGGCATTATTTATAATAGGAAAAAAATAAATACACAGGCCTCCCTTGGATGGATAGTGAAATCTTTAAATGAGCAGAGCCTTGAGTCATAAGGATAGAAGGCAAAAAATTTGCACATGAATCTTAGTTGTGATATGTGAGTTGCCACTCCCGCCTACAGTTCTTGCTTTCTAGGCCCATGTTTTTCTGCTGAAAGAAAAATACTACCATATACCGATTGCTCTTTCAGAGCACGTACTGGATCTGGTGAAACAATATTCCTCAAGGTGTTTTCACCCAGTTGGCACTCTGAAAGCTGGTTGCTTTGAAGCCCTGAGAAACCTAGTAAATGAGAAACAGTTTCACTTTTACTGTAAGCTGAGTGCCTTGTTCAGAGCAATTTTGTGTAGGAAAATATCCAAATAATACAAAGTGTTGTAACCCATCTGGCACTATAAATCTTCAGTAAACCATTTCACCATTTTATAAAACCTGCTGCTTCTGGGTAGTAATGTTCATGATGAGAACAGTGAATTTCATGAACCCTACAGTCTTATTTCTTTTGCTCTAAAATGAGTTTTTGGGTCAAAAAATAATGTGGTGTGGTGATTAATTCATTTAGTAAGACTACAGATGTATTACTGATTGAAGGCATGGCAAGGAGGGAGGGCACTTCCAGATCTAGAGTGGGCTCATTCAAGTGAGGAATTACCAGGCCCTCTGAGATGAAATGGAACCAAGGTAATTAACCTGCTACTTGATCACTGACTGATGTCTGCAGTGCATTGTGCCATATTGAGATTTTGGTGTTTTTTGCTACTGGCAAATTAGGTGTTCAGTCGCTAAACTGGATTAGAGTACTGGAACATCCTTAATGGGAAAAGCCTACACTGTTCAATCTGCATAATCTCAAACCTGTGCCACCATGACCCCTGAGTTTATGAAACTGTGGTGCAAATAATGAGATAGTTGAGGAAAAAGACTGACTTAACATCTGCAGGTGATTAATAAGCAATCATTTTGCCATTGTGTGTTGTGAGCTTCCCATATATTATCTTGTAACACCAGAGCGTTGCTGTTTTCACACCCAGCCAGATCAATAGCCATTTCCAGAGTCACATTGTACCTGTTTCTTAGTGGAAATGCATATTGCCTTTTACTTCAGAGGAGATACACTAGTTGCCACAGCACTTTGGATTCCCCAGGAATGGTATGAAGGTAGTAGGCTCCCAAAATTTTCATGTGTTTTATTTCCCACTCTGGCATAGATATATCTTAACAAGGGACCTGGAATACCTGCAATTTTTGCTTTACCCAATTCCATCTATGGGGAGTGAACCAACTTGTAGTCATGGGGAATGATGAGATAATAAAAATCCCTGTAGACTGAATTATGGCACAGAGTTGATAGTGCTGTAGACTAGACAGTAAAAACTTGTGCCTGCTTTATGGAAGGTTTCTGATGTATGCTTATTGTGATAATAGAAGAAAGCTTAGCAAAATGATGACTATATTGGTATAACTCCTTTGAGTTTTTTTGTCGTCGTTGAAGTTTTGTTTTAAGTTCAGGGGTACACGTGCAGGATGTGCAGGTTTGTTACATAGGTAAGCATGTGTCATGGGGATGTGTTGTACAGATTATTTCCTCACCCAGGTATTGAGCCTGGTATCCATTAGTTATTTTTCCTGATCCTATCCCTCCTCCCACCCTCCGCTCTTTGGTAAGCTCCAGTGTGCCTTGTTCCTTCTCTGTGTGTGCATGTATTATCATTTAGCTCCCACTTATAAGTGAGAACGTGCAATATTTGGTTTTCTGTTCCTGTGTTAGTTTGCTCAGGATAATAGCCTGTGGTATACTTTTTTAAATACATCTACAATAGGAGATGTAATTAAAGCTTCCAGTTGGAGGCTTTCTGGACTTGGATTGCATTCTAGACTCTTGGATGACATGAGCCTGGTATGTAAGGGGGCTGTGTAGGGCTATAGGGCCTTCACACAGTGCTTCTTTGGTCTGATCTGTACTTATATTCTTCAGAGTTTTTCCTAACTTTTCCCTTACACTATTTGTTGACTGCTTTTCTTGTGCTACTTTTACCCTTAAAATTAGGTGGAATTTACCACCTAATGGTAAATGGTACAGTATATCATAGAATATTATAACACAGTGAAATCTGATTTTTCCCCTATATTTGTATTTAATTTATTAATTTAGTTAATTCACATTTTATAAAATATTAATTTAGAAACAAAGCCTTTTATCTTTTAAATTTCACAACAGTTATATTCAAAGTTACATGCATCTGTGACATCACTGGTTTTATAATCGTCAGAAGCTTTTTTGAGCCATCTAATTTTTCATAGCACATCATCTTCACTTTCAGCGAAAGTTAGCTGTGATTCAGCCTTTTTTAATGTGTAGGATGTTGTCACTGGAAATTTTATCAAGAGTTATAAACATTTGTGCAAATACTATGATAGGATTTTTTTTGTTTGTACTGACTGAATATTTACAACTTCTTCAAAATAATTATTGCTTTTAAAAAACATCAATATTCTATTTTTGAAAAACATTTAATGTAAAGCACTCTTACATATGAAGTGAAATAAATATAAAATGTGTATGATTTTAATTTTTTTTTAAGTTATTCAAAAATATGCCTGGAAGGAAATACATCAAAATGTTAATAACCATCTCTTGTGGTAGAATTACAGATAACTTTTATTTTCTGGATTTTAAAAATTCTTCACAATAAATAAACTTTATTTTTATAATCTGAGAAATGTATTTTCAAAGAGTTTATCCTAAGAATTCAAAATGGCTTAATATTAGAAAATTCATTATGTGATTCACAATATTAATTGATCAGAGTAGTATAACTACAGGACTTGGTGATCAGTTCGATGTGGGAGAAATGGAAATACCAGAGGAATTTCTAGAATGCTTGATTCAGTAACATGGAGGCTAGGAAGCATTGTAGGATGGCAGAGAGACAAATATGGGTTTGGATTCATGTAAGATGGATTTATGTGCAGGCATATTGGTAGAAATGCATATGGTGGTAGATGATTGGAAATATAGGAGATCTGGAGTTTAGGAATATGGGAAAGTCATACAGCTTTCCTCAAGGAATTCACAAATTAGCTGGGAGATTTTTTAGTACATAGAGAAATTAAAATGAATTATTGTAATGTGTTAGAATGTATCATTTTAGGCCTGGCATGGTGATCATGCCTGTAATCCCAGCACTTTGGAAAACTGAGGCTGGAGGATCACTTGAGCCCAGGGGTTCAAGACCAGCTTGGGCAACACAGTGAAACCTCACCTCTACCAAAAAAAAAAAAAAAAAAAATTAGCCAGTTGTGGTGGCTTATACCTGTAGTTCCAGCTACTCCAGAGGCTGAGGTGGGACGCTTGCTTGAGCCCAGGAGGTTGAGGCTGCAATGAGCTGTGGTTGTACCAGTGCTCTCCAGCCTAGGCAACAGAGGAAGACCCTGTCTCTCAAAAAAAAAAAAAAAAAAAAAAAAAATTCTATCAGTATAATGAAAGAGGAAAGGGAAATCAGTAATAAGGACATGTGTATTTGTGTATTTCAGGACAATTTTAGGAATCAGGTGGCATATTGAGGGTTAATGGATGGATTCAGATTTAGATGTTCACTAGGGAAATACATGGGCTAAAGCATATAATTAAAATATTTAAATTTGTCAAAGTGGCCAAGCATTCAAAGAATTTGTTTGGCTAGGTTGTTAAATGACTGTATTATCCTTTACCAAAGGATTAGATAAATAAACATTTTTAAATTAGTGTTTATCATTTATCGAGTATTTGCTATGTCTCAGGCACTGTTCTAAGTGCTTTATATGAGTTAATAGCATTTAATTGTCACAAAAATCCTAGTTGGATACTATTTTACAGATGAGGAAATGGAGGTATATAAAGCGACTTGCCCATGATGGTAAAATGGTGAAGCCAGTATTTGAACCTGGGCCGTTAAGTTCTGTTTTCTCAGTCACCGTCTTAGATTGTTACTTTTCATTTGTATACAAGTTTGTTTACAAATTCCAAAATAATATTATTATTTTGAGCTATATTCTGTTCCACTAAGTGATTGATTCTCTTTTATTTATTTATTTATTTTTGAGGCAGAGTCTTGCTCTATTTCCCAGGCTGGAGCGCAGTCACAAGATCATAGCTCATTGTAGCCTCAATGTCTTAGGCTCAAGCAATCCTTCTGCCCCAGTCTCCCAAGTAGCTGGGACTACCACACCTGGCTAATTATCTTTTGTTTTGTAGAGACAGAGTCTGGCTTTATTGCCCAGACTGGCCTAAAACTTCTGTGCCTCAGGTGATTCTCCTGCTTGGGCCTCCAGAAGTGCTGGGATTATAGGCGTGAGCTACCATACCCCACCTCTCTTTAAGTATTTTGTTTACAAAATTCCACAGAATTTCTACAAAGGTCTGTATCAACTACCTGTAACTTAACTTCTCAATTTCATACTGATTCAGTGTGCATTTTTGAAATCAAGTGATGGTAAGTATTTCTCAGATTTAAAAAAAAAATTTTTTTTCAACGTCAAGTGTTAATTTGTCTCAGGTATTAAATAGGTAGTTAAAAAATATTAACATTTGGCCAGGCGTGGTGGCTCATGCCTGTAATCCCAGCACTTTGGGAGGCCGAGGTGAGTGGATCACAGGGTCAGGAATTCGCGACCAGCCTTTCACCAACATGATGAAGGAAAATACAAAAATTAGCCGGCCATGGTGGCACGTGCCTGTAATGCCAGCTACTCAGGAGACTAAGGCAGAATTGTTTGAAGCTGCGAGGCAGAGGTTGCAGTGAGCCAAGCTGGAGCACAGTGGTTCCATCACACCTTCTGCAGCCTCCAACTCCTATGCTCTCAAGTGATCCTGCCTCCTCAGCCTCCTAAGTAGCTGGGACTGCAGGTGCACACTGCCATGCCCAGCTAATTTTAAACTTTTTCTGTAGAGACAGGGTCTTACTATGTTGCCCAAGTTGGCCTGTAACTTCTGGACTCCACCAGTCCTCTGGCCTCAGCCTCCAAAAGTGCTGAGATTACAGGCATGTGCCATCATGCCCACCCAGCCTATCCCCTTTGAGACGAAGTCTTGCTCTGTCACCCAGGCTGGAGTGCAGTGGTAAAATCTTGGCTCGCTACAACCTCTACCTCCTGGGTTCAAGCGATTCTTGTGTCTCAGCCTCCTGAGCAGCTGGGATTACAGGCACCTGCCACCATGCCCAGCTAATTTTTGTATTTTTAGTAGAGACAGGGTTTTACCATGTTGGCCAAGCTGGTCTTGAACTCCTGCTTCAGGTGATCCGCCCGCCTTGACCTCCTAGAGTGCTGGGATTGCAGGTGTGAGCCACCATGCCTGGCCCTATCCCCTTTTTTTAAGTGAGGAAAAATTAATCATTTATTTTTAATTGACTCGCATTTTTGCTGTGTATTCTCAGTAGGACATTTGTCTTCAGTTTTGTTCTTTCTTGTGTACTGATGTGGAATTAAATATATAGGAGTTCATTTCATGCCCACAGGAAAGGTTTACTGCTAAACTATTGAGTCAGCTCTACAAAATTTCCATGAATATCAGACTTCTTTGTATGATCATGTCTAAAGAATCTAGACCTAACACTGCTATATTGAATTTATTCAGTTAGCCAGGCACAGTGGCTCACACCTGTAAACTCAGCACTTCAAGAAGCCTAGCCAGGAGAATCTCTTGAGGCCAGGAGTTCAAGACCAGCCTGAGCAACATAGCGAGACCCTCATCTTTATGGAAAAAAAAAGAAAAGAAAAATAAAATCTATTCATTTATAAGACTGACTAGACAACATTAAAAAGTTAACATTTTGCTGGTTCCATGATTTCTTGGTGGTGGTATTAACCTTGACCAAATTTCCTACTAATTTAGATAAAGGTACAGATATACCTTAAATAGTATTTGGATTTCTTTTACATCTTGAAACAAAATGGCAACCATTTTCAAATATGCTTAACTAATTTTTGAAAGACTTTGTTTATAACAGACTCATGAGTAAATGGCTTACGTAACTAACTCTCAGTTTGCCCAAGACTTCGGGCGTTCCTAGATGCAGGACTTTCTAATATTGAGCTGGCCACTCTAGACTAATTATCTGAAATAAAGCTTTCTGTGAATTTTAGAAGCTATTTCCGGTCTACTGTATATTGCTTTAAAGAGTATTAACCCTCACTTGCTATTTACCGTAATCTGTTGCTCTGGTAATATGCATTGTCTTTAAAGAGAATCATTTAAAAATACCATTGAGAGGGCCGGGCGCGGTGGCTCAAGCCTGTAATCCCAGCACTTTGGGAGGCTGAGGCGGGTGGATCACGAGGTCAAGAGATCAAGACCATCCTGGTCAACATGGTGAAACCCCGTCTCTACTAAAAATACAAAAAATTAGCTGGGCATGGTGGCGCGTGCCTATAATCCCAGCTACTCAGGAGGCTGAGGCAGGAGAATTACCTGAACCCAGGAGGCGGAAGTTGCGGTGGGCCGAGATCGCGCCATTGCACGCCAGCCTGGGTAACAAGAGCAAAACTCCGTCTCAAAAAAAAAAAAAAAAAAAAAATACCATTGAGAGATTAATGAATTAAGAATGGTTGGTATTTCTTCCCTTATAGGAAGAAAGAAAATATTTGACATTTATGGTTCAATTCTTTTTTTTACAGGTATGTTGAGTCGATGGGATGATAGTCAGAGATTTTTGTCTGACCATCCATACCTTGTATGTGAAGAAACTGCTAAATATCTTATTTTATGGTGTTTTCACCTAGAAGCTGAGAAGGTATTATTATGTGAACCTTGACTTTCTGGGTACCTTAGTGGAAATCTGATTTCATACTTTATTGATGTTTTGTTCTGTTTTCTATATTATGCCCTTTAAAAGAAAGCAGGAAGGTCATTAGATGGAATTACCATTTTTTGCTTTCAGATGTGCTTGAGTTTAATGTGGGATTTTGTTGTTGTTTGAGTTAGCATGCAGAGGCTTTTCCACTATACTTTCTCTGCCACTCTACCCCTGTCTCTCCTGTTTCCATGTACTATAATCTTTTTTCAAACTAATTTGAAAGTGTTTTATTATTTTATTTATTTTTTTTTGGTTTTGAGATGGAGTTTCACTCTTGTTGCCCAACCTGGAGTGCGATGGTGCAACCTTGGCTAACTGCAACCTCTGCCTCCCAGGTTCAAGTGATCCTCCTGCCTCAGCCTCCCAAGTAGCTGGGATTACAGGCATGTGCCACTATGCCCAGCTAATTTTTTTGTATTTTTAGTAGAAACAGGGTTTCACCATGTTAGCCAGGCTGGTCTCAAACTCCTGACCTCAAGTGATCCACCCGCCTCGGCCTCCCAAAGTGCTGGGATTACAGGCATGAGTCACCACACCTGGCCTGAAAGTCATGTGTGTGTGTGTGTGTGTGTGTATATATATATGTGTATATATATATAGAGAGAGAGAGACAGAGTTTCACTCTTGTTGCCCAGGTTGTTGTGCAATGGCACGGATCTTGGCTCATTGTAACCTTCACCTTCCGGGTTCAAGTGATTCTCCTGCCTCAGCCTCCTGAATAACTGGGATTACAGGCACCTGCCACCATGCCTGGCTAATTTTTGTATTTTTAGTAGAGATGGGACTCCACCACATTGTTCAGGCTGGTTTTAAACTCCTGACCTCAGGTAATCTGCCCGCCTCAGCCTCCAAAAGTGCTGGGATTACAGGCGTGAGCCACCACCATACCTGGCAGAAAGTCATATTTTTTTAAAATCCAGACAGTAATCACAGTATTAAATCAAGTTCAGAGCATGGTCTTCCATTAGTTATTCTGGTCCACATACAAATTATCAAAAAAAGAACCCTAAGATATATTGTTTATATGTTTGTAAAGTATTTGACTTAAAACTAAAGAGAGTAAATCAAAAGTATTCTAAAAATTCAAAATTTGAATCAGTATGCCAATTAAATATATTTATATATTTATTATATCATTTAAATCTGTTTCTTTTCAGAAAGGGGCTTTAATGGAACAAATAGCACATCAGGCCGTTGTAATGCAGTTTATTATGGAAATGGCCAAAAACTGTAATGTGGATCCAAGAGGGTGTTTTCGTTTATTTTTCCAGAAAGCCAAAGTAAGTAATTAGCTGAGACCTCTTTGTTCTATTCATATCAATAGAAAGCATCCAAGCAGTATGCCACAAGCTAAATTCTGTAGATTTTCTTGTGAAAAGAAAATTTATATTGCTAATTTCATGCTAATTTAGGCTTACAAGAGCTATATAAGAGGTTGTACTATAGCATATGTATGAAATTGAGACTCATTCAAAGGAATGTATGTATTCAGGAAACTTGTGTTCCATCATTAATTCATTCAGTAAATATTGAGTGCCTGATGCAAAGCACAGCTGTTTCAGATGCTCAGGATGCGCTGTTAAGCAAAATAGATACAGCATTCTTCATGTGTAGAATTTAACAGTTTAATGAAAAATCAGACTTTTATAAAGAAAAAATAAGCAACCTAAAAATTCATCAGTTAAGGGAATATTTAAAAATACCTATGGTACATAGAATATTATGCATTCTTTAAAATTATATTAATGGATCATTTGTAGTGAGCTGAAGAAATGCTTATATTATAAATTCACAAGAAGCAGTACATACTAGAGGATGTTGGCCATGTTGAAGAAAAATAGATGTCTATAAAGATTAAGTACATTTCACACTCACAAGATTAGTAATAATTTAAAAGCTGCCCAAGAAGTAGAGCAATAAGAATTTGCATTCACTGCTAGTGGAAGTATAAATTGGAACAACCACTTTGCAATATTTTCTAGTAAAGTTCAACAAGTGCCTACCTTAACACCCAGAAATTCTCCTAGGTGTATACAACCTAGAGAGTAGATTCTCAAGGTGTGGTCCAGGGACCCCTGAGGGAGTTCAAGACCTTTTCAGGAAGTCCTGAGTCCAGACTATTTTCATAATAATACCAAGATGTTATTTTTTATTTTCATTTTCATTCTCTCAGTAGTGTACAATAGAGATTAATGCAGAAGTACAAACTAAGATGTTATTTTTTTATTTTCATTTTCATTCTCTCAGTAGTATACAGTAGAGATTAATGTGAAAGTACAAATATGAGAATCTAGCCATCTTCTGTAAAGCCAGACATTATTAGATTTAGATTTAGAAAAACTGAAGGAAAAGCAGCTCTCTTCTCACTAACTTTTTTTGTTTTGGCAAACAATTTTTTTTTTAATAAAAATCTTACTAATGGTGGTATAATGAGTTTGTCATTATTTTTAGTTAATATTTTTTAAATTCCTCAGTTTTAATTTCTAACAGTAAATACTGACAGATATAACTCACATAAACAGAAGCTCTTTAGGGTCCTCAATAATTTTCAAGACTGTAAAGAGAACTGCTTCCCTTGAAAAACTCTTAACACGTGTGCATTAGGTTGCCATAATGTTTATGGTAGATTGTTCATAATAGCAAAAAGCCTGGGAACAGTGAATAAATTTTGGTACAGGTTGAGTATTCCTAATCCAAAATTCAAAATGTTCCAAAATCCAAAACTTTTGAGCATTGCCATGACACTCAAAGGAAATACACATTTTGTGTTTTCAAATTAGAGATGTTCAACTGGTAAGTATAATGCAGATATTCCCAGATCTGAAAAAGTTCACAATCTGAAAAACTTCTGGTACCAAGCATGTCTTATATGCAACCTGTATATTCATTCTATAAAATACTAGCCAACATCAGCTTGGATTAAAAAAATAGAGTGAATCAAACAAACCACAGAGTGATATATCTGTCTAGGTAGAGACTAAATAGATATATCTAGTATCAAAGTTCATATTTTGTATTTCTTTTAAAGTATATATATACTTCTTAAGTATATATAGTACTTTATAAGTATATGAGAGAGAGAGAGAAAGAGAGAGAGAGAGAGAGAGAGAGAGAGAGAGTGTGTGTGTGTGTGTGTGTGTGTGCCTTTTTTTTTTTTTTGAGTTGGAGACTCATTCTGTCACCCAGGCTGGAATACAGTGGTGTGATCTTGGCTCACTGCAACCTCTGCCTCCTGGGTTGGAGCAATTCTCCTGCCTCAGCCATCCGAGTAGCTGGGATTACAGGTGTGCGCCACCACACCCGGCTAATTTTTGTATTTTTAGTAGAGATGGGGTTTTGCCATGTTGGCCAAGCTGGTCTTGAACTCCTGACCTCTGGTGATCCACCCACCTTGGCCTCCCAGGGTGCTGGGATTACAGGCATGAGCCACCATGCCCAGCCATAAAGTATTTTTTTAATAACAGGCAGAATTAAGTATACTGTTGAAGGATACATATATATGCAGTAAAACCAAAGAAACAAAGGAATAATTAAGAAGACAAAAGTTACAATAATGATAACCTCAGGGAGGGAGGGGGAATGCTCTTGAGAACTAGTTTTTAGGATACTAGTAATGATCTATTTCCTATTTTCTAGGGGTACATAGTGGGGGTTTTGCTAAATAAATTGTGCATATATCTTTTACATGTTCTTCTGCACATAGGATATATTTGGACATATACAGTTAGAAGTTAAAAGGAAATATACCAAAAGTTTAACTTCGGTTATACTTGTGTGGTAGAATTATAAACAATTTCCATTTTGTTTTTCATGTACTACTATGAATATTTCCTTTTATAAACAGATAAAATTACTATTTTTATATTTAAAAAAATCTATCAATGTGGCAGTAGTCCTAACTTAAATGCCCTAAACTCTTCTGAAATGGAACCAAAATACGAAGTTTTCCTCAAACAGTTGAACTTTAATAGTAAATATTTGACATGTCATTTTAGCTAGGCTCCTTCTGGTGACTAGTCTAAATTTTTGTTTGTTTGCTTTTAGAGACAAGGTCCTGCTCTGTCATGCAGGCCAGAGCGCAGAGGTGCAATCATTGCTCACTGCAGCCTTGAACTCCTGGGCTCAAGCAATCATCCTCTCAGATTCCCAAGTATCTGGGACTGCAGGTGTATGTCGCCATACCCAGCTAATTTTCTGTAGAGATAGGGTCTCACTATGTTGCCCAGGGTGGTCTTGAACTTCTGGGCTCAAGCTGTCCTCCCACCTTAACCTTTCAAAATGCTGGGATTGAGCCACCTCGCCCAATCTAGCCTAAATTTTAACTTGACACATAAAAGTAGTAAAAACTATACTTTCCTGTTCATCTTACATTAATAGATGTGTTTAAACTGGTCCTTAATAAAAGAATGGAACATGGCCAAACCATACATATATTCTTTGACATTTACTTTACCATAGTAAATGAAGTACAACTGAAAGGCACTGGTCTTCAATCTTAACATTATTGTTAATAATACTTTTTAATTATGAAATAATCTTTTTTTTTCTTTTTTTTTTTTTTTTTTTTGTGAGATGGAGTTTCACTCATGTTACCCAGGCTGGAGTGCAATGGCGCGATCTCGGCTCACCGCAACCTCCGCCTCCTGGGTTCAGGCAATTCTCCTGCCTCAGCCTCCTGAGTTAGCTGGGATTACAGGCACACGCCACCATGCCCAGCTAATTTTTTGTATTTTTAGCAGAGACGGGGTTTCACCATGTTGACCAGGATGGTCTCGATCTCTTGACCTCGTGATCCACCCGCCTCGGCCTCCCAAAGTGCTGGGATTACAGGCTTGAGCCACTGCGCCCGGCCCATGAAATAATCATTTTTATGGTTTGCTTTGTTCCAGGGACTGTTCTAAGCACTTTACATGGATTAACTCATTAAATCCATATAACATTTTATGAAGATTACTGTTGATATCTTATAGGTGAAGAAATTGGCATAAAGAAATTAAGCAAGTGGCCCATAGATTACTTAATAATATAAAATCTGTCATCACTCTGTATCTGCATCCCTAAACCTTAGGCATGCAGTGAGGTGAGCAATTGTGGCTCTTAATTTTCAGAAAGAATACTTTTGGATATGACATACTGTGTGTCCACAGAAGTTCTTATAAAGTGAGGTGCTAAAATGTAATTGAGGAAATTCTTCCTAAATGTGTAAGAAGATAGGATGGCAGCACAGGTCATTCTCCACATTATTTGAATAGATGCTGATGCTAATAACTAATCCACAGGTTTAACCTGATTACACAACCTACAGTTCACCCTACTTGAACTTAAAACCTGCATTCTATTGGTAGAATAAATCTCTGTATCATTTCTCTGTATTCAGAGGAGACATAAACAGAGGCAGTTGCCAATAGGGAGTTGCCTAAGAGTTCTACTCCCTCAATGTAAGTTATCATACTTTTTCTTTCCATAATATTGAAAAGAAGGTACTTGCCTAACTAGAACAAGATATTTCCATAATTGTGTTGACCGTTGAATTCTATTTGATTTTCATAGCTCCTATAAGTAGGGAATATAGAGTTAGAAAATTACTAAAAGCAGGTAATAATGCCCCCTCATTAATTGTTGAAGAATTAAAAGGTTTTAAGAATATCCCTTGATTGTTTGGTAGTGGGAATATGATAGAATGAATTTGAGAGATTAAATGAGGACCATTTTGGATCCTGTTAAGGATTCAGATAAATCAAGGAAAATACAGAGAAAGGCTTAAGTTGTGTGTATATGTATAGGGAGGGGTTGTTTTTTATCAGTTTACTTTGCTGAAGCATAAGGAAATGGAACAAACCAATTATTAATGTTTCTATAAATCAGGTAGTTTTCACAAATGTGGCAGGGATTGTGGTGGTTTCTTTGTTTAGACTGTTCACCTTGTCATTACTTCTTTACTTCAGACCCATTATATGCTTTCTGGAATTTACTGTGTCTAGAAATCTTGAAGAACACAGGCTTTGTTTTTTTGTTTTTTCTAGGCAGAGGAAGAAGGTTATTTTGAAGCATTCAAAAATGAACTTGAAGCTTTCAAGTCAAGAGTAAGACTTTATTCTCAATCACAAAGTTTTCAACCTATGGCAGTTCAGAATCATGTTCCCCATTCTGGTGTTGGATCTATAGGTTTATCAGAATCCTTACCACAGGTGAGTTGGAAAAGTAAATATTTATTTATTTATTTAGAGACAGAGTCTTGCACTGTTGCCCAGGCCGGAGTGCAATGGCGCAATCTTGGCTCAGTGCAACCTCCACCTCCTGCATTCATGCGATTCTCCTGCCTCAGCCTCCCAAGTAGTTGGGATTACACCACCACACCAGGCTAATTTTTTGTATTTTTAGTAGAGGTGGGGTTTCACTATTTTAGCCAGACTGGTCTCGAACTCCTGACCTTGTGATCCCCCTGCCTCTGCCTCCCAAAATGCTGGGATTACAGGTGTGAGCCATGGTGCCCGGCCAAATACTTATTTTATAAGCATATTAGTTCACATAATTTTTGTTATTTTGGTCCACTCTTTTTTTTTTTTTTTTTAATATGTGTAACCATTTTAAATATTCCTGCCTCAGAAGATAACTGTTGAATCTTATTTCATGCCATGTTTTGGCACTGAATCTCACCTCAAGTATTTAAGAGATACCAGATTTCCTCTCCTTTTAATGTAGTAGTGATTAGTTGTACCTAACCATTCTTAAGAACAAATGTTAGCTATTGATCATCTCAATCATAAACTCTTCAAGATGGCTCTTCCTTAAAACATCTCATTCTAGGCCGGGCACAGTGGCTCATTCCTGTAATCCCAGCACTTTGGGAGGCCGAGGCGGGCAGATCACACGGTCAGATCGAGACCATCCTGGCCAACATGGTGAAACCCCAACTCTACTAAAAATACGAAAATTAGCTGGGCATGGTGGCATGTACCTGTAATCCCAGCTATTGGGGAAGCTGAGGCAGGATAATTGCTTGAATCAGGGAGTTAGAGGTTGCACTGAGCTGAAATTGCACCTCTGCACTCCAGTCTGGTGACAGAGTGAGACTCTGTCTCAAATTTAAAAATCTCATTCTGAGTTAGAACTATGCCATGTTGAATTTTTTAGGATGAATTAGCTTCAAAGTGTACATGCAGGTGGAACCAGTGTGATGTGTTGCTTACGTTTATTTAGTATTTTCTTGTTTAGTGTTGGTATTGTCTGCCAGAGGTGACATTTTTAGAACACATTAATGTAGCTGATAATATTGTATCTGGTAATATTGGCCAACTGTTTGAGCCTCTTCAAAGTCTTAAGTGGTTTGATCAAGATAAAACCATGTCATATGGGCAATACGAAACAATTTACATCAAAAAGGAGAGGTCATCAGACCACTGGTCTGCCTGATTCTACTTAGGATTACAACTAGCATTTAGTTAGGATTTAAGTTATTAGATAATTCCTATCCATTTGATTTTACTAGTAGCACTTTAATAGAGCCCAGTCATCTCTCATTTCCAGGCTCCAAGATTTTAAGACCAGCTTTAGCCAGTTTAATCTGTTGTCTATATTGTAAGAAGGAAAGTCTCATTCAAAAGACAATGTGAGGAGAGTCCTATATTTAGTTTTAAACTTCCTAAAGTGCTAAAAATTGAGATTTTCAGTGACCTGACCTTATGTCACTATAATTTCACCATTCCAATTACATGTAGTGTATGCCCTTTAAGGGGAGTAATTGATCATATTTACCCCACTCAAAAATATCATTCTTATGAGTCTCTGAGCCTACTCTGGCTCTAGAGGCTGCCTGGAAAAAAAAAATTTCTCAAGGATGGAAATAATAAATGTCTGATTTTTAAATAATTAGTAATGTTCCCCCTTAGTTAGACATGTAAGGAATATTCCCCCTACAAATTTCCTACAGATTATCTCTTAATTTTATGTCAGTGATTATTTTTCTCTTCAGTTCCTGAGAAGTAGCCCACTGGGAAGTAGTTTTTCCAGGGGAATTCTGTGACCAAGTCACTGTGAAATCCAATATATAAACTTCCTGCAATTAAAATGTCACATAATGCAAGGGAAAGAAAAAAGAGACTTTGGAAGGGTGTAATTGATTCTAAACATAAGAAGAAAAGGTACACATTATAGTATCTTAGGCCTATATTATTTAGAAATTGCCTCTGGTTTGAGAGAAGTAAGTTCTTGTTACATATATTAGATAGCAACTGATATCAGATACTAGGCATCCCTTAGAGTCATAGGTGGACTAGGATTATACAATTCTGACACTTTTGGATTGCTGATATTATCAGGGTTATTCAGATTTAATTAAGCTGGGCTAATGTCCTCACGGTGGGAGACCAATTTCTCTTGGTGAGTAATTTGAGCATCCTGGTATAGTCCTTCTGAAAGATACAAGAGCTGGACAAAATTTCAGTCAGATGCTACCTGTGCAGAAAGGATCATTGACTAGTTGAAGGAAATAAAAAGAGGCTACTTGAGGGACCAAATCATCAGTTTAGAGGTTTGGAAGAAAAATCTTACCATAATAATAACATCCCATTTTTATATCAGTTTATAGGTTACAAAGCACTTTCACACATATTATTTAATCTTCTCAGTTTTCCTATGATTCGTTTTCATTTCATTTTTATAGATGAGTAAACTGAAAGTCATGGAACTTAAGTAATTTGCCTGAAGTCAACACAATAAGTGATTAATGTTCTACTTTTGGATTTCTATTCTGCTTCACTATTTGTTCACCTATATCACAGACTGTTGAATCATATGTATTGAGAATGTTACTAGATGAAAATATGGGTCAGTTAATGAAATTTAAGTATAGGTTAGGTTGGGTATATCAATTCCTTATTTTTGAAAGTCTCTGTATGATAGTATCTTATAGTCCTTGGGAAGATGGATGGATGAGTTTGGGGAATCTCCTCAGCCAATTCTCTTATTCAAAACTGTGTCATGGAAAACTGGAGCCCAGTCTTAATAGAGTAACTCTGTAATAATTGTAAGCTCTGTTACAGTGAGTTTACAGAGAATTATGCTTGGATTGTCAGAAAAAGGTCTTAAGGCTGTTTTTTTGGAGAATGGGACAAGATAACAAAAATATTGATCATTTTGGATAAAGCTTAAGTGTGGATAACTATTTAGCTTTTAATTTCTTTTTTTATATATAATTGACAGTAATCTTGTGAAATTAGCCAAATTCTCTTCATTATTCTTAGTTTTGAGAGGTCTAATCCAAGTCTTCTTGGATGTAGATATAACAGCAGTTACTTTAGGTTTATCCTATAGGCTAGCTTTTAATTTTACCAAATTGCAAATTTTTTTCTCCTTGAGGATTGCTCTACTAAATAGAGGCAGGATTAAAACTGAGGCCCAGTGTGAGTATCCCAGACCTCAGTCAGTTGTCTCTGCTACTTCCTTTATAAAGACCTGATTGTGAGTCATCCAAACTCCAGCTAGCTTTCTGACTTTTACAGTAAAGGAATCTCATGAAGTGTTGTACTTTCTGAGGATCTTTAGAAAACTCTGCCTCCCAACCTCCTATTGGATGGTGACGTTTAAGGCATCTCTCCTGTTTGGACTATTTTCCTCATTGGTGTTTATTAAATAAAATAAATATAAATAAAACTAGTAATACAAGTGGTAAAAGTCTTAAGTAACTAGCAGATATTCAGAACAGTTGAGTAGACAAAATTGAATTCTTGGGGAACAATTTTCTAAAGTTCTGGGTCTTAAAGGGCTATACCTTTATTCATAGTATAATACAAGCTGATATTTTATTCTCAGTTTAAAAAATAAGGGTCTAAATACCTCTCAAAAGAGTCCAGATTTCTCACTGAGTTTGTTTTAACTTTTGGCAAAACAAAATAGACCCTGAAGATATCCATAATTTTTACCCAGTCAATGGATTTTATTATTCAGATGATTTGCATTTTTAGTATTTACTATTGTAATTAGATGGTAATCTTAAAAATGCATTGCTGGCTTCAAACCGCATTTAAATTATCAGTAGCTATGTATATATAAACACGTGGACGTTGTAGCCTTGCCTTGTATTATTAAATAATGTATGGTTTTGTTAAATGGAGAAGAAAGGTGGTATTTGTTAACAATTCTGTTTTTCATATGTATCATTCTTTTATCACATCTCTTAGGTGATAGCATCCTGTTTTTTTTCTTTATTTTCTTGGGTTTCAGCCCAAGTCTGACTCACATCTTCTTACCTACTACTCTACTACACTGCAGAGAAATAGGACTATGAAACTGAATATGTATATATGTACTATCATAAAACTGGTTATAATGCATTTTCTCCCCCATCCGCCTTTTCTTTTTCCCCAGAATCCAGATTATCTTCAGTATTCTATCAATACAGCTCTCTGCAGCTTAAACTCAGTGGTACATAAAGAAGATGATGAACCCAAAATGATGGACACTGTATAATTTGGTTAAAACTGCTGAGGCCAAGTGCTATTTTGTTACAAGAAAGGAAGAACTTGGCTATTTTCTTGACACTTTTATGGGTGCTGCACTTTATTTTTGTTTGTTTTTTGATGGGAGGGAAAGAGTACTGAAACGTTTTGTACATTTTTTTTAATGTGCTGCTAGGTTTTTTGTTTTGTTTTGTTCTGAAGAGAGGAGTGGTACCATATGTTGCAGGAAGTCAAACTGGACTTTTTGTGGCTACTAAATTTGCCTTTAATCTTATTGTTCTCAATTTTGGAATCAAAGTATGAAAATCTGCACAAATGCAATGTTTACAGGAACTGGTCGATTCTGGGAGGCATCTGCTACAGTCTCTTTTTATATGGATATGTACATGTCCTATTCTACAAAAATGATTAAAGATAAAAATGTACCTGTATCCCACTGCTAATTTAGCTGTCAAATCTGGTGTTTCATCACATTAAAAGCAATAAATCAGTAGTTGGTAATCGGCCTTACTAAAGTTGGGGGGTACAATTATTAAAAGTCTTAACTCTTAAATACGTGACTTTCGGCACCATCAGTTAAATCCTTGAATATAATACAAATTTGATGTGGACAGTGCATTTACCCTCAAATGATTCTCAAAACTGAATTCCTTAGAATTTGATTTTACTCTGCTAACTTTAAGAGTTTTAGTAATATCAAAGTGATGAGCTAATACAGATTTTCTTTTTTAATAAGAATAACGTCAAGCTCACTCTTAATTTCTTAACACAGTCTGGGATCTCTCAGGGAGTAAGTTTTAAAAGAATACTAATGATTTGTAAGAACAAACAGGAATAATCTGATTTTTAAATTTGAGGTTGTTTCACTCTGATGTAGCCTTTTAGTTTTTTTGTTTTGGTTTTTTTTTTGTTTGTTTGTTTGTTTGTTTTTTCTTGTAGCCCTTTAAAAAAGGACTCTTAAAAATGATTTTTTTAAAAATGAGAAATCTTGCAGTGCTAACTGCCTTGAGCTGCCAATTACCTATTTTGGAGAATTTGGTGACTCTTGTCGGTAATGATGGCATTTACAGCATTTGGCATTTCCCCTTTTTCAGCTCAGTTATCATATAATGCTTCCAAGCTTTACTAGTTCCTCTGTAAGTCATTTCAATTATGCCAGGATATTTGATGATTTCGTTTATTTAGAATTAGGTAACAATGCTAATTATGCTATCCTTATGCTTGAAAGATTAATCTTACAACTTAAACATAAGCTTTAGTTATATTTGGGTGTAATCCTTGGCTAAGTAACCATTAAGACTAGTAGCTAACACTTGGAAGGAGGCTAACTAGGATTGGGAATACATATCTCAACTTGAAAAACCAAATAGTGCTAAGGGACCCATAGGGTGATCAGACCTGTGACCTTGGCCTCATTTGTATCTTGTTTTAACTGAGGTGATCAGGCGCTTAGTACCCTAGAAATGGACTGGAATTATTGACTCTTACTTCTGTAACATCACAATCTTCCTGGTTTTCAGAATAAAGTCTTTTTGTGCTTTATGTGCTCTATAATAAAATGTTTGACTAATTTATATAATAGTATTTGTCAGCCTGTACTTTTTTTTTAACCCATGACCTAGTCCTAGACATTTTTTTCTTTTTATTCTGTTCTGAAGCAAGCTCTCGTTTTTGCCTTCCTACCAAATTGACAGAATGGGCAGACACAGGAGCCATATTGCCAGTTTCACAGAAATGTTACTTGAACTATTACTTTCCCTTCTTGCCCAGGATTTGTCTGTAAGCATTCAAATTGTTTTGAATTTCATTTTGCCTTCTTTAAGTTAGAGGTATTTAATGACTGAAGACTGGCGGGAGAGAAAGTATCAAAAACTGAGTAAACTATTCTTGAGGGGTTTTGTTTCTAAAACAGCAATTACTGAAAAGATGTTCTTTGAAACTTGATTTATATATTTTTACTTGCAAAAGAAAATGCTGTGTTTTGAGTATGAAAATATGATTGGGTTTGTTTTGGGAACCACTGACTGATGCCATAATTTGCACTTAAAGACTATAAATTACATAGCCTTACTTTAGCACTAGAAACAGTCAATTGACATCCTTTTTATTTTGCTTTGGTATTAAAAACTAATTCTGACCAAATGAAATGTCCTTTTTTTGTTGTTTCTTAAGAAATAATGAGAGTATAGTAAGCAAAGGGATAATTTAGATTTCAGGTTGGACAGTTTACCCTGAACAAACTAAACCATGGGAAGTACAAACACATGAATGAAACATTTTTTACATCAAAGTATCATCAAAGATTCTTGTTTCACTTGATACAATTAATCTTCAAATAAAAATTTTTAATAAATAGCTGTCCATTTATTTTCTGTTAACTCATTGTCATTTTTTTCAGTGGTAGTGGAGAAAATATTGACTTAAAATTATTACTCTTAGGTAGATGGGTAACATTCTCTTCGAATTATACCATTAGTGGGCTTTTTCAAATTTTGTCTAATGAGCTCACAATCTCTTATAACTTTAGGAAAATCAGGTCCTCCTCTTCTTTCAGACCGGCATATTGCCCTTTTAAAAATGAATGAATGGCCAGGTGCAGTGGCTCACGCCTGTAATCCCAGCATTTTGCGGGCCGAGGCGGGCAGATCATGAGGTCAGGAGATCAAGACCATCCTGGCCAAGATGGTGAAACCACGTCTCTACTAAAAATACAAAAATTAGCTGGATGTGGTGGCATGCGCCTGTAGTCCCAGCTACTTGGGAGGCTGAGGCAGGAGAATTGCTTCAACTAGGGAGGAGGAGGTTGCAGTGAACCAAGATCGTACCACTGTACTTCAGCCTGGTGACAGAGCGAGACGCCATCTCAAAAATAAAAATGAACATGCTGCCCAAAAAATTTGCGTCTGTTTTAGTAAGTAGATTTTCTTACAGGATGAAAAAAGTTGATTGTAGGTTTAGGCAAAGTGATCCTCAAGTTAACCTTGGAATATTTTCAGAGGAGAACAAAACATAGGCTTACTTTTCTAAAAGTCATGTATTTCAGTTCTTAAATTCGTGTGGGACAAAACCATGGTACTTGTCTGAGTTGCAGTTAGGCTTTCCATTTCAATTTTGCCACTATATCAAACATTATACTTCTAATAAAACCCTCAAATCTTATCCATCAATTTCTCTGTAATGGTCATTTATATACAATTGCATAGTTCTGAGAAATTGATTTATCTGAAAAGTATTTGCTTACTATGTAAGCCAAGGGGGTCGGGGAGGGGAATACAAGGATGAATATAAGTTCATTATGGATTGTTTACCTTAATATGAAGTGAAACCATCCTCATAAGCTTTGAAAAATTAGACTTGTTTGATCTTCTCTAAATATAGAAAATGATTTTTTTTTTTTTTTTTTTTGAGATGGAGTTTCACTCTTATTACCCAGGCTGGAGTGCAATGGCACGATCTCGGCTCACCGCAACCTCCGCCTCCTGGGTTCAGGCAATTCTCCTGCCTCAACCTCCTGAGTAGCATGGAGGTAGCACGCACCACCATGCCCAGCTAATGTTTTTTGTGTTTTTAGTAGAGACGGGGTTTCACCATGTTGACCAGGATGGTCTCGATCTCTTGACCTCGTGATCCACCCGCCTCGGCCTCCCAAAGTGCTGGGATTACAGGCTTGAGCCACCGTGCCCGGCCAAAAATGATTTTTTAAAACTCTCACATCTTTCACATAGTTAACAGCATGATTCTCCATGTTATTTACACTTCAGACATTTAATTTGGAATCTTTTAGAAAAATATGTCACAGTGCTGGACTGATTTATACTTTGGCATGACAGTTTATTCAGTACTGTATATGGAAAAACTCAGTGTTTAGTATCATTTAGTGTGCTGAAAACAAAAAGCAGGAGAGGGGGATAAGGACTCTACAAAGCATATTGGCTTTTACCAGAAGCTTTAAGCACAGCTAGACTATTTTTTTTTTTTTTTTTTTTTTTTTTTTTTTTTGTGGAGACGGAGTTTCACTCTTGTTACCCAGGCTGGAGTGCAATGGCGTGATCTCGGCTCACCGCAACCTCCGCCTCCTGGGTTCAGGCAATTCTCCTGCCTCAGCCTCCTGAGTAGCTGGGATTACAGGCACGCGCCACCATGCCCAGCTAATTTTTTGTAGTTTTAGTAGAGACGGGGTTTCACCATGTTGACCAGGACGGTCTCGATCTCTTGACCTCAGGATCCACCCGCCTCGGCCTCCCAAAGTGCTGGGATTACAGGCTTGAGCCACCGCGCCCGGCAGCTAGACTATTTTAACTGTGTTTTTAAAATTGTTTAACCATAACTTCCAAGATGAAAATCTCTAACTGCAAAGATAGGAAAGCTATTTTTACAGTTTATCAGGGTCTGAGAACATACTTCTGTCAATGAGAAGACACAACATGTTCTAAATACAAATTCTTGCGTTTGGTTGCAAGTATAGCAATTTAACATAATTTGAGATGTATAATTACAATGATTTGTTGTTAGTATAGGGCAGTTTTGTCACAAGTTGTTAAGTATCCAAAATATCTTGTTAGAATGCCATTATATATAGCTGGGGGAGAAGTATCCACCAGGTGGGGTTTAGAAATTTGAGCCAGTATTTAAGCTATTTCAAATGGAACTCAGAACTGAAAGAAAACTTCTGGATGATGCTAACAACTGCCAGTTTGCATTTCCCACAGTACACTCTGCTTACAAAAGGTATAGCAAAATAACTTTTACTCTATAAAATAAATGGGTTGAGATGCTGTTCTGACTTTTATAGCATAGTAGTTTCTCATGGCAGTCAGCTCCATACATGCATTTCCATGTGGTACATAAATCTTAATGATGGTCATTACAGAATTTTTTTGTGTGTTGAGAACAGTGCCTCACACTTGTAATCCCAGCACTTGGGAGGCTGAATCGGGAAGATTGTTTGAGGCCAGGAAACTAGCCTGGGCAACATATCAAGACCCCGTCTCTACAAAAAATAAAATTAGCCAGGCATGGCAGTGTACGCCTATAGTTCCAGCTACTTGGAAGGCTGAGGTGGAAGAATTGCTTGAGCCCAAGAGTTCAAGGTTACAGTGACCCAATTATGCCACTCACTGCACTCCAGTCTGGGCAACAGAGTGAGGCCCTGTCTCAAAAAAATAAAGAAAAAAGTTGTATTACAGTCATATTCATTCCCAAAGTAATGAATGTATGTGCAAAACTTTGGGCTAAGTATTTTGGGAGTGCGGAGGGAATGGTCACAGGAAAGAAGAGTCTTAATTCTCATAGCCATGTTCTTCCTCTGCTCACTTTGATTTCCAAATCTCCTAAGGGTATTAAGAAGGCAGGTATGGCTACCATAGCAGGAGATAAAGTACTGCATAAGCTGGAACAAGCCAATGGACTGTTTTAAGATCATTTATTAGGGGCTGGGGACAGTGGCTTATGCCTGTAATCCCAGCAGTTTGGGAGGCCAAAGCAGACAGATCACCTGAGGTCAGGAGTCTGAGACCAGCCTGACCAACATGGAGAAAACCCTGTCTCTATTAACAGTACAAAAAAAAAAAAATTAGCCGGGCATGGTGGCGCATGCCTGTAATTCCAGCTACTTGGGAGGCTGAGGCAGGAGAATTGCTTGAACCCAGGAGGCAGAGGTTGTAGTGAGCAGAGATCTCACCATGGCACTCCAGCCTGGGCAATAAGAGCAAAACTCTGTCTCAAAAAAAAATCATTTATGAGAACACATTCAAAGCCACTGAGACATCAGGCAGCAGAAAGGAAGGTGGATGGAGCAGGCCCTGTGAAGAACCAACGACAAAGTAGTAGCCACAGTTATGAAATTCATTTTATTCTGATAGACTAATGTATGTCTGATAACCTAGTGATAATCCATAAGTTTGGTAGTTCACAACATTTTTAGAAAGCACATAAGATTAACATTCAAATAAGACATTAGAGAAAGTTTTATAAAGAATGAAATGTTTACTAGAATTCTTTTTAAAAAACCTTCGTTCATCTTAAAAGATTGATGAATTTTTAAAGTATCGGAAGAAAAAGAAAATAAAATTTTCCCCCCCAAAATACATAAGAACCACTTACTTGTATTTTAAGTACCTGGAAAAAAATAAAACAGATTTTTAAAGGTAATTAATAACAGCTTGTACGAGGGCTTGTTTCATTTGATTTGGCACCAAGTAAAGTAAGAGTAAATATGTCATCAAAGACATAATCAAGCTTTTCCTCCACCTCTCATATTGCCCCACTTCTCCTACCAGACCAAACAGTACATCAGCAACCATCCTTGTTGTCCCACTAAGGAATCACTTTAGATTCCAATATTTAAATGGCTGCTCAGATGACACCAATAGAGTTCTTTCTCCTTAAAATAAGGTGGTAGTGAATGCTAACAGGTATTGATTTTTTTTTTCCGCCGCCATCTTGGAGAACAGGTATTGATTCCTTTGATCAAGAACAAAGAACTCCTTCAGGAAACTCACTTACTTTCCTGTTAACATATCATGTAAATTCTTTTTATTGGCATACCTTTTTACTAATTATGATTGATTGTTATTTATGTCAAGGGAGCATTTCCCAGGCATGCCTCATCTATTTACTAATGACAGTATGCTTACTTTATTTACGTAGTGCCATGGGTTTTCTCTTTTTTCTTTTTCTTTTTTTTTTTTTTTTTTTGCAGGTTTGGGGATGGTACCATAACGTTATTTTATCAGGGCCGATCAATCATTTGGATCAAAAAAAAAAGAGAAACTGGCAAGTAGATCCTAAAACACATTTCTTAACCTAAGTCACATCTGAAAACAGACTTTAATTACATTTTGTTGAAAATTCATTCAACTTTGGTGCTTGTCCAAGGACTTACAATGTCAATTTCTGACATAAATCATAACCCTCAGTACACATGCATTTTCAAAGGAAACAAGTCATCTTAAAGTAAGATTTTTCTTTATGTGAATTGATAAATTTTTATAGCATATTGAAAATTCTGAGTAAACAAAGTATGGTTAACAACAAAATAAATACAGCATATGTGGTTAGCATATACATTTCTTAGGGTAAAGGCAGCAGTGAATTTGTGTCTTACAACAAATCTGTAAATCCAGTTGCTTTCTTTCTGGAATTTTATACAGTGTCTCACCATGTTCCAAAATGCTAGAAATGTCTTTTTTTGGCATCATTCTAGGCAAAAATTTCTGACATTTTCCCCAAATGACATGCAACATTTTTTAACTTTTCCAGAAAAATATGGAAACTTTACTGACCACTTATTAACTGAACAAAATGTTAGATTACTAACAAATGCTCTTTTAATTTTGCTCTAACATGTTTTAAAAGTTCAGACATCACTGATGTTTTTGAGGATAACTGAAATCAACATACTAGTTGATTTCAAAGGATGAATCTTAGTATCTGACTCATTTGGCACATTCTTAGTATCCAGAATAAAATCAATAGAAATAAAAGTAATAAAATTTTCAAAGAATTCATACATACTGGAAGTCTTAGGAAAAGCAGCTTCTAAATGCAAGGATTAGGAGGTCTGCCCATCTTACAATTAATAGTTACACACATTTCTCCTCAAGGAGTAACTGAAGCTTTCTGGCTTGTTTGTGGAACTTTAGTTTGTAGGAAAGCATATACATAGGGCCAAATCTTGTTGGTTTCTGTTCCAGAAAATGTTTCCAACACCCCTTTTTTCCTAAAGATGAAACAAAAACAAAAGAAACACAGGTCTGAGTCTTCCTAATAAGCTCTTTCAAAGCTTTTCTGTAAATGATGATGATGTGGATTTAGGAGTCTCGGTAAGTATAGGTCTGTGTAATCAGGAGAGAAAGACACTTGGCTGGGCATTGGAAAATTTAGATTTTAGTTTCAATTGTATTCCTTGGCTTACAGAAATGTAACAGCACCAGGCCAGGTGCGGTGGCTCAAGCCTGTAATCCCAGCACTTTGGGAGGCCGAGGCGGGCAGATCACAAGATCAGGAGATCAAGACATTCTGGCCAACATGGTGAAACCTCACCTCTACTAAAAATACAAAAATTAGCTGGCATGGTGGCTCACGTCTGCAGTCCCAGCTACTTGGGAGGCTGAGGCAGAAGAATTGCTTGAACCAGGGAGTCGGAGGTTGCAGTGAGCCAAGATCACGCCACAGCACTGCAGCCTGGGCGACAGAGGGAGACTCCGTCTCAAAAAAGTAAATAAATAAAATTAAGTAAATAATAACAGCACCTATCATTTATTGAGTTTATTGGGCATACACTGTGTGTCAAAGGCTGTGCTACATGCTTTACATATAATAGTTCATTTAATCCTTTCCAAAGCTCAAATTTTCTTATTTTACTGAAAAATCACATCTTTATAATGTAGCTTAGCCCCAGTCACCAAGTTGGTAGTACATTTCCAAAGAGAACCTGTAAGATATTAGGATAACTGTCAGCTTTTTTTTTTTTTTTTTTTTTTTGTCTACTTACTCCTTTGCAAAAGCTACTTTCTAATACTTGAATATCCTTCCTTTTTGCCTAGGCCAACATTTATTTTTTCCTTTATTTCACTCTTTTGAATTTTGAATTCCACTCTTTCAGTTTTATTGGGTTTCCTATTGACTATCTTCATTTCTCCCCAGGCAGATCTGCCTAGCTTGTCACTAGACCAGCAGCCAAAGTATATTTTATTTACTCCAGTTTCCTGTGGATAATATAGTGAGGAGTGAGGATCGGAATGCTGGGGTTGCTTTTAAAGCCACACAGATTCCCTCCAGAGATTCTGGCATTCCTTTTGCTAACACCCCTCCTCTAGCCCACCTACACATATACGCACTGGTTTAAAGGGTGCATAAGGGCAACCTAAGAACTCTGGTTTATTTTTACACAGAAATATTTTCTGTGCAAACAGGATCCCTCATACCTTTGTAGCCCTTCTTACTAGGTTTTCAGGGTCTTCACTAAGGACAAAAGCATTCCTTTCTTGATACCTCATAAAATTTACCACAGTTAACTTAAATAACACCCACTGTTTTCTTGGTAAGAAACACTGCAAAGATGGGAAATTATGCAAATACGGCATTCTTGGGATATTAGAAACCCTCCTGCTTCTAAATTCACAGGCACCTGGTATAGCTTTCAAGGGATCAAGCTTCTTAACTGTTGTAAGCCACTTGAAGAGCCACTTTAAAAATCAAGCCAATGTCACAAGTGGGTTAATTACTGAGGGCACAATTGCAGGCGCCTATTCAATCCTAAATCGTGGATGAACATTCGTCATTTTTATTTCTGTGTAATAACATGGAACCAGCTTCAACAATTGGTCCTTCAAAGAGTAAGGGCATCATGTTGTTTGTAAATATAGACCAATTACTCTATAATGTCCCACAGCTAAGAGGCTTTTTTAAAACAAAACAAAACAAAAAACCCCAACAATATAACTGTCAGCATTTTTAAATAACAACGCTGACTAGGCGGGCAGATCACGAGGTCAGGAGATCAAGACCATCCTGGCTAACATGGCGAAACCCAGTTTCTACTAAAAATACAAAAAATTAGCCGGGCATGGTGGCACGAGCCTGTAATCCCAGCTACTTGGGTGGCTGAGGCACGAGAATTGCTTGAACTTGGGAGGCGGAGGTTGCAGTGAGCTGAGATTGTGCCACTACACTCCAGCCTGGGTGACAGAGCAAGACTCTGTCTTTAAAAAAATAATAATAATAATAATGCTATTACTAACGTTCTTGCAAATATAACTTAGAGTTTTTAGTTAAGTCTCACTCTAGTTCTATGTGTGAAAGCTGAGAATGAAAAGCTTGAATTAGGCTGGGCATGGTGGCTCATGTCTGTAATCCCAGGACTTTGGGAGGTCCAGGAGGGTGGATCACCTGAGATCAGGAGTTCAAGACCAACCTGGCTGACATGGGAAAACCCCATCTCTACTAAAAATACAAAAATTAGCCGGGTGTGGTGGTGCGCCCCTGCAGTCCCAGCTACTGGGGAGGCTGAGGCACAGGAATAGCTTGAACCTGGGATGCGGAGGCTGTAGTGAGCTGAGTTGGCACCACTGCACTCCAGCCTGAGAGACAGAGTGAGATTCTGTCTCTAAAAAAAAAAAAGAAAAGAAAAGCTTGAATTAACAGCAAGAGGTAGCAAAAGCCAGAAGCAGCCTAGAAAGACTTCTAAGGTATCTCCTACGATAGAGACCTATGTCATTCACTGCATCTTCGCAGCCTTCCTCAACTTCCTTTCCCACATTTTTTTTTTTTTTGAGACAAGGTCTCACTCTGACACCCATGCTGGACTGCAGTGGTTCATTCATAACTCACTGCAGCCTCAACCTGCTGGGTCCAAGCAATCCCAAGTAGTTGGGACTACAGGCATGTGCTACCATGCCTGGCTAATTTTTTTTTCATGTTTTGTAGACACAGAGTTTCACCATATTGCCCAGGCTGATCTTGAATTTCTGCCTCTTCAATCCTCCTGCCTTAGCCTCCCAAAGTGCTGGGATTACAGGCATGAGGCACTGTCCTGGGCCCCTACCCATATTTTGATATTTGGACAGAACGAATCCCAACAACCCCTGGTTCGTGATTGCACTGGGAGATTATCTATTCATAGCCTTACAGTGCTGGTGTTATCTGCCCAGCAACAATGCATTCTCCCTTCTGGTTACTTTTGGGAAACAACCTCTCTACCAGACTCAGTCACGAGGGTCAGGAGAGACTGTTCCCACTCCGCATCTTTGAAGATGGACATGATCAGAGCTAATCGGTGCCAACCCCAAGACTTTGCTGGCAAAAGAGGCTCTTTTCTTCTGGAGTTCCTGACTAGTAGGAGGTAAACTGGAAAGTTGAGGGGCTGCAACACAGGGAGAGCACATGTGAGACCAAAGTCAACACAGGACAATGGAGCTGAGAGACTGAGGCCTCAAGATAGGTGTTTTTCAACACCTGGACCCAGCCATCCACTTTTGACTTTTTAGTTACATTACCAATAAATTTCCCTTTTGCTTAAGCTGGTGTGAACTAGGTTCCTAGTTAATATAAGAATATTTCACATTGTATAATAAATACTGTCTACCCAGCCCCCAACGTCACCCACATACAGAGCTTCTTGGGACCTGTCAGGGACTGGATCTAATTGTCTGTGTGGACCAAGGGCCTAGCACAGTGTCAAGAGAGTAAACAATAATTGCTGACAACGAATGAGTTAATAGCCATCAGGGCTGTTGTAAGACTTTCTAGGATCTCTCACTTAATTGTTAAGATTCACTCAGGGTGTTTGGCAAAATATTAAGGGAAATACTAGGGAAAGTTATAAGACTATCGTCTCAAAGGTTTGAGATTATAATCTTATAACTTTCCCTAATATTTCCCTTAATATTTTGCCAACCACCCTCAGTGAATTCTAACACTTAATTCCTTTAACAACCCTATAAAGTAGATGCTATTTAATATTGCCTGATTTTACAAATAAGGAATTTGTGACATAGAGGTTAAATAACTTGCCCAGGCAGGGCAAAAGAGATGGTAATTTTCAGAAGCAGCATCATTAAACAAATGGCAAAATTACAGTAATGGCTACTATAAAAAGTGGATTGCCAACCTTGTAATTTTATGCTCCAAAAACAATTAAGATAGTTTGAAAGGCCAGACATGGTGGCTCACACTTGTAATCCCAACGCTTTGGGAAGCTGAGGCAGGAGGCTTGTTTGAAGCCAGGACTTTGAGACCAGCCTGTGAAATATGGCAAGAGCCTCATCTCTAAAAAATGTTTTTTTTAATTGGCCAGGTGTGGTGGCATGGGTCTGTATTCCTGGCTACTTGGGAGGCTGAGACAGGAGGATTGCTTGAGCCCAGGAGTTCAAGGCTGCAATGAACTATGATAGAACCACTATATTCCAGCCTGGGTAACAGAGTGAGACCCTGTCTCTAAAATAAATAAATAAATAATAACAGTTTGGAAATTATTCCTTCAGATTTTTACTGCATACATACTCTACCACAACAACAATAACAATAGCTAACATTTCTATAGTGCTTTCTATGTGTTAAGCACAGTTCTAAGAGTCATACATATTAATCTTTCAACCCTTTACTCTCTTCCCCAATTTATAGAGGAAAAAACAGGCAGAGGTTAAGCAGAAGGTGAAGGCAAAGATGGTGAGTGGGACTTGAACTTGGGTATTCTGGCTGCAGAGTCTGTGTTCTGCCCGAGATACTGTTCTGCCCGTGATACTGTTCTGCTGTGATCAGGGTCAGTATTCAATAAGCAAATGAATGAAAGGGGAGGCAGTCAATCCACTGCAAGGAGAAGGAAGGCTCAGTAAGAAACTGAGTAAGTTTCTTAGCTTAAGTCAAATACTTATTCAGTACAGTTCCCATATGTGTTGCAGACAAAACAATGTTAGAATGTAAGCTTTTAAAGACTGCTAGCCAATTACATAGTCTGAGGGATTAGCTGCCATATGAGATTCTTCTACACCACAGCATCCTGTATTGACAAATGTGGTGGGCAATATTAGATTTGCCTCCCCAGCATTCATTCCAGCCCTCCCTCTGCTACCGATGATACCTAGCTTACAATGATTCAAGGCAGGATTTTTCAGGTTTATGATGGCATGAAAGCAACACGCATTCAGTAGAAATTGTACCTCGAGCACCGGTACAACCATTCTGCTTTGCAATTTCAGTACAATATTCAGTAAATTACATGAGATATTCAATACTTTATTATAAAACAGTCTTTGTGTTAGATGATTTCACCCACTTGTAGGCTAATCTAAGTGTTCTGAGCATGTTTAAGGCAGTCTAAGTTATGGTGCTTGGTATTTCAAATTACAATGAATTTATCAGGACATAATTTCATTATACATTGAGGAATATCTGTACATAGCAGAGTTTGGGTGAGACTGTCCCACCGCCAGCTCTGGATGTGGACTAGTCAGTGTAATCAGTGTAATCCTTCCCACCCCAATGACTGGTTCTGCAATGGGCAGTAACCCAAGCCTGTAACAATTAGTGCCAGGCATTCCCTGACTGCAGTGGCTGTTCAAGGTAGCTCCATCTGAGTGATGCTCTGGGCTTCTTTTTATTGGGGGAAAGGTCACCCCTCAGCCTTCATGAAAGAGGAAGCCCTGGCTATTCCTCCAAATGTCTGCTACCAAGCAGGAAGCCTAAGGACAAAGCCAATACACACAGAAAGTCAAAACCAAGAGAACAGCAACATGGTCAAACCCAAGTGTGACTGAAGCACAGCCTTTTGTGGACTTCTATTATACAAGCTAATGTATTTCCTTTATTACTTAAGCCCATGTGAACTGGGTCTTTTGGCATTTTAGCATTTCAGCTCTAGAGTAAGGAAAATCATAACCAGACTTAGTGCACCATTATGCAAGAGAAGTTCGGAAAAGCAAAAACTCACTGGTAATATTCCAGGACTGGCTTTGTTTGGTCTTCATAAGCCTTTAGTCTCTTGATAACCGTCTCTGGTTTATCATCCTCACGCTGAATAAGAGGCTCTCCAGTCAGATCATCAATGCCCTAAACAGGATTAGAAGAGACTAGTATCAGATATCATATTTCTGAAGGATATTTTCATAAGCAGTTCAATTATTTTTAAACAGATATCTCTGTGCAAGTGCCAAGCACAAAAATGTGCTAACTTTTAAATAAATGAAATCCAACCTCAAGACAGATCATCGCCAACAGAAACGGGAGACGCCAGTTTCATTTCCATAGTTATCAGTCACTTTAGCCTTGGAGTAAAAGGTTTTCTAAGCAGGCTCTAAGTAAGTTCACATATATACAAAGAGATTCAGCTATAAACTGGGAATCTCAACTGCAAGTACTAAATAAACCAAGGTGTTATGAATCTCTATCAGCCCAACTCCTAACACACTCCTTGGCCGAGTAGGAAATCAACAAATGTTTCTGAATGAGTAACAAACCCCTGTTGCTCCTGGGGCACCTTTAGCACCAAGCTCAGTGGACTAGATCACTCAACTATACCAAGTAACCTGAAAATATACCCTCAGGAGTTTTGGTCAGGCAGAGGATTTCCAAGTTCACAAAACATGTCTGTGAGGGCAAGAGGACTCAGGGACAGTCTGCTATAGGACAGTTCCACAACAATTACTCACCACAGTTTTGGGAGGGTTGAATTCAATGTTGTAGACTCGGCCACTGGCAGGATGAATCCAGCGAGCAGTAAGGCGTTGTTTAATGACCTCAAAGGGCACATTCAGGTTAATCACTGTGTCGATCTGATAAGCTCTATCTAGAGCTTCTGCCTGTGGAAGTGTCCTTGGAAAACCTTTATAAAGTAAAAAACAAAAAGAAAAAAGAAAGAAAGCAGAGGGAGAGGGGTAGAGAGAGAAGAAATAAAAGGGAAGACTTAATGTTGAACAATCTGAACAAAAGGAATGAGGTACACCAGGCAGGTTGATCACAGCTGCAGGGCAACTGTGATGGTTACCTGTCAACTTGACTAGGGCATGAGTGCCCAGATATTTGGCAAATACTATTCTGGGCATATCTGTCAGGCTGCTCTTGTTATGAAATTATCATGTAAATAGGCAGACTGAGTAAAGTATATTGCCCTTCCTGATGTGGGTGAGTCTTATCTAATCAATTTTAAGGCCCGAATAGAACAAAAGGCTGACCTTTACCCAAATAATGGAGAATTCCTGCTACCTCTAACTGGGACACAGGTCTTTTCTTGTCTTTGAACTCAAACTGAACTCATGATCTTTGTTCAAACTCCAGAGGCTGGCCGGGCATGGTGGCTCACGCCTGTAATACCAGCTTTTTGGGAGGCTGAGGTGGGCAGATCACCTGAGATCAAGAGTTCAAGACTAGCCTGGCCAACATGGTGAAACGCCATCTCTATAAAAATACAAAAATTAGCCTGGCATGATGCTGGGTGCCTGTAGTCCCAGCTACTTGGGAGGCTGGAGCGGGAGAATTGCCTGAACCCAGGAAGCAGAGGTTGCTGTGAGCCGAGATCATGCCATTCCATTCCAGCCTGGGTGACAGAGCAAGAATCCTTCTCAAAAACAAACAAACAAATGAACAAACAAAAACTCCATATTTCTGAAATATGACAAAATGAAACTAAAGTTCAGCTAAAGGAAAACTATTAATGCAAAAGAACAAATCCTAACAGATGTGTTATACAGCTAAACAATGTGATTCAAAATTAGAGAGGCAAATGTACCTGATGAGTGAATTCAGAAATATACCCAAGCATATTTGGGAATTTAAAATGTTTGACTTTGCAATGTTGTTACTAAGGACATTTTGTCTAGAATACCACAGAAAAAATAAAATTGGTAGAAATAATATATTTGCAAAAGCAACAAAAGTTAGGCCAGGTGTGGTGGCTCACCCCTGTAATCACAGCACTTTGAGAGGCTAAGGCAGGAGGATCGCTTGAACCCAGGAGTTTGACACCAGGCTGGGCAACACAGCAAGACTCCTTCTCTATAAATAACAAAAGAAAAACATTAGCAGGGTGTGGTGGCACATGCCTATGGTCCCAGCTGCTCAGGAGGCTGAGGCAGGAGGATCGCCTGAGCCCAGGAGGTCAAGCCATGATGGCACCACTGCACTCCAGTCTAGTAACAGAGCAAGACACTGTCTCCAATTAAAAAAAGAAAAGAAAAGAAAAGTGACAAAGGTTAAAACTGCACATGCACAATTTGTTAGCACTAAAAATATTGCCTGAAAAATTACATTTTCTTGTTAACAATGAAATGTGGAAAAATTTGCCAGTGACCTAGACCTTACAATGTGCTAAGGTAACGATAATGACTAAAACTATACCCAGGAAAACTGGATTTGGGAGAAATAATGGTCCCCAAAGAAAGCTTATGATGGCAAAATCTCAATGTGTACAATTTTATATAATAAAAAATAAAGTATTTATTATAAAATTTACACTGAAGTAAGCAATCCTGGTGAAAACAATTTCGTACATTTAACAAGCACAAATGGACTTTAACAGCTAAATCTCAAGCACTTTCTAGATGCCAAGTACTATATGCTAAATGGTTTACAAGAATCACTTCTTTTAACCATCATAACAACCCTAAGAGAGGTACTTCTATTATTCCCACTTTATGAATAAGGAAACTGAGGCCCAGTGAGGCTAGGTAACTTACTCTTTAGCTCACAAAGCTCGTAAAGTGATGGAAGTGGGATTCGAACACAAGCTGTCTTACCTAAATGTTCCTTAGTAGGAGATTAGTTAAATTATGATACAGACACAAAATGCAAGCCCATGCATTTTTTTATTTCATGAGGCAAATCTATGTTTTAAATACAGATTTATTCAATGAAAAGGCAAAATGCAAAACATGGTATATGTATGTATGTGTGTGTATTATACAAAATAGATATAAACAATATTAGATACTACTTATGGCGAGGGGAGCTAGAAACTTAACTCACATCTTATACCAAATATAGTGGCGGCCAGGCGCGGTGGCTCAAGCCTGTAATCCCAGCACTTTGGGAGGCCGAGGCGGGTGGATCACGAGGTCAAGAGATCAAGACCATCCTGGTCAACATGGTGAAACCCCGTCTCTACTAGAAATACAAAAAATTAACTGGGCATGGTGGCGCATGCCTGTAATCCCAGCTACTCAGGAGGCTGAGGCAGGAGAATTGCCTGAACCCAGGAGGCGGAGGTTGCGGTGAGCCGAGATCGCGCCATTGCACTCCAGCCTGGGTAACATGAGTGAAACTCCCTTTCCAAGCGAAAAAAAAAAAAAAATATAGTGGCATCTGTGGGTTCCACATCTGTGTATTCAACTAACTTCAGATCAAAAATATTCAGGAAAAAAAATGGATAGTGGCATCTGTGATGATCATGTACTGAGTTTTCTTGTCATTATTCCCTAAATAATATATTATAACAACTATTCATATAGCAATTACATTGTATTCGGTATTACAAGAAATCTGGAGATGATTTAAAGTACACAGGAGGCTACGCTAGGTGTAGGTTACATGCAAACACTACACCATTTTATATAAGGAATTTGAGCACGCATGGATTTTGTTATCCATAGGAGGTGGGTGGAAAGGTCTTGGAATCAATCCCCCTGAGGCTACTGAGGGACAACAATGACAATTTTGTCATTGGTTCTATTGCAAAAATACCTTTTCTTTTTAAAAATTAAGAAAGATGTAAATGTATCACAGAGAGGCTCAAAATCCTCAATGATCACATCCTTTAGAAATAATTACTTTTAATTTATTGGTATGTAATTTATTAGGATTTTTTCTGTAATTAGTGATAAAATATATATATACACATATACATTCAGAAATGGGAATCGTTTGAACTGGGGAGGTGGAGGTTGCAGTGAGATGAGATAGCACCAATTGCACTCCAGCCTGGGAAACAGAGCCAGACGCTGTCCCAATTAAAGAGAAAAAAAAGTGCCCATCTCTCCAGTACATTACTCTCTGTTCACATCAACTTCTTTTTTTTTCTGAGACAGAGTCTCACTTTGGAGTGCAGTGGAGCAATCTTGGCTCACTGCAACCTCGGCCTCCTGGGTTCAAGCGATTCCCCTGTCTCGGCCTCCCGAGTCGCTGGGATTACAGGTGTGCGCCATCACGCCCTGCTCATTTTTGTATTTTTAGTAGAGACGGGATTTTACCATGTTGGCCAGGCTGGTCCTGAATTACTGACCTCAGGTAATCTGTCCACCTCGGCCTCCCAAAGCGCAGGAATTACAGACATGAGCCACCACCCCCGGCCCACATCAACTTCTAATTTACCTCTTGGCACTTATATCTGTGCTTACCCACATTTTTGTTTACTTGTTTGCTACTCGTCTTCTACTAGAGGGTACTTTACTTTACATAAGGACAAGGACTTCAGAACCTTTTTTTTTGAGACAGAGTCTCACTCCGTAGCCCAGGCTGGAGTGCCCTGGTGAGATCTCAGCTCACCACGACCTCTGCCTCCTGGGTTCCAGCGATTTCCCTGCCTTAGCCTCCTAAGTCACTGGGTTTACAGGCTCACGCCACCACACCCGGCTAATTTTTGTATTTTTAGTAGAGACGGGGTTTTACCATGTTGGTCAGGCTACTCTCGAACTGCTGACCTCGTGATTCCCCCACCTCAGCCTCCCCATTTCTTCTTAGATAAAGCAAGCAAGTCAGGGCTGCAGGGCTTGGTGAGGGCAGCTGACTGCATGCGTGCCTGTGCGAGAAGGTGGGGTATTGAGGTTGACTAAGAGAGAAAAGTATGTAAGCAGTAAGACTAGATTAGCTACCCTCTTCCAAAAAAGGATATTATGATTCAGATCTTCTTGAAGAAAAGGCTTATCCCAAGTTTATCCCAGTTTTAGTGAGAGCTCAGGACTCAACTAAAACAAATCTCTGTTGTGTCCTCTCTATATTAACAAAACTAAAAATCAACCTACCCTCAAGGATTCTGCCATACCTCTGGCTAGGGAAAGTTTACAGGCTATTGTAGGTTACTCTCGGGTCTTGCTTCTTCTATGGTGATCCTCCCATATCACAGAATATTCTCAAAGAAAGGGAAATGAACTAAAGCTACATCTGAAAGGAGCTTAGAAATCATGCAATTCACTTTCCTCTTTCCATTTGGATATAGAACTGGTCCCAGAGAAGAAGATGACTGGCTTCAGGATAGTCCCAAGCACCCCCAACCACCATCTTTGACATTTGTCCAAAGCCCATGAAATGCTCATTCTCCTGCCAGCACTCTTTATTTTGGGCAGGTGATATGCTCATGACACTCTACTTACCATCCAAAAGCCAGTTATACTGGGTGAGATTTTTCAGTTCATGAAGGGCCAGCCGAGTCATGACATCATCTGGGATCAGTTTCCCTTGGTCAATGAAAGCCTTGGCTAACACGCCAATTTCTACAGCAGAGGGGGGAAAATCAGTAAGTGCATTTGTTTTATCCCATTCCAGGCACCTCGGAACGAGTTACCTAAAGGGGAAGTCTGAATGGCATACTCATATGAAAATGTGCATCATCAATTTTTCTGATAAAAACAAAGGTTACGGCTGGGCACGGTGGCTCATGCCTGTAAGCACTTTGGGAGGCTGAGGCAGGTGGGTCACCTGAGGTCAGGAGTTCAAGACTTGCCTGGCCAACATGCTGAAACCCTGTCCCTACAGAAATACAAAAATTAACTGGGCATGATGGCGGGTGCCTGTAATCCCAATTACTTGGGAGGCTGAGGCGAGGGAAATGCTTGAACCCTAGAGGCAGAGGTCACAGTGAGCAGAGATCATGCCATTGAACTTCAGCCTGAGCAACAGAGCAAGACTCCATCTCAAAAACAAAAACAACAAAGAAACAAAAAACAAAGGTTACAAAATAATCTAAACTTCATATTCTTCATTATGGAAAAATACATAAATGTAAATATACAGACAGAAAAAAATACTGCAAAGGTATACACCAATAAGTTATAGTCATCTCTGTGTGATAGTTTTATAAGTGTTTAAATATATATATATGTATTTTTCTGTATTTTCTACCAGAAAAAAACTATGAAATAGCTAAAATTATTTTCTTTTAAAATAATTTTTAAAATACAATAAAATAAGAATTTGAAATTATCATTATTTTGAAATGATTCCATTTAAATGCCTGCTATCCTGTTATTGTAGAGACTTTTCCAATCCTGTAAAACAGGTGCTGCTATCATGAGACAATTCAATTTTTAACCAGATTAGCATTATGATTTTATTACATTTTTATTAACAAAACAACTCAGGAAAAGAGTTTACGAACAATTTAATAATATTACCTACAACCAGGTGTCACTTTTATGCAACAGTATTTGAATTTCCTCATGTTCCTTTCCCAAATTATTGTTATACATTCAGAACTGTAATACTATTGTAATCTGCATACCTACAATTTTGTGTTCTTTTTGTCACTTAGTATTATTTAATAAATACATACAGTCCACCATAAATATCTACATAAGATATTAAGAAATAAATATATAAAAATACACTTTATTACAACAGTACTGCTGGACATTTAAATTGTATAAATTTGTCTTGATTTTTCCTCCTTACTGAAGACTCTTTTTTTTTGACTTTGCTTTTTTTTAATTCTCTTTGGAATTGTTTCCGATGAATAAATTCCCAGATGTCAGATTAAAGGATCAAGGTATATATAAACATTTTCCTAAGACTTTGGAATGAATTACCATACTGACCTCGAAACAGATTCCAAATTGTCAAATTCATGAAACTTTAGATTTTTAACCAAGAACAGTAACTGCATGGACACGGGCTATCATGTGGCAAGTGTGCTGCTGGATTTGCAGACTGCTCTTATAAGAGGGCTTGGCGGATGTAGAGCTCAGGACTCACTAAAACAGCCTTATACTTAATGTGTGAAGCTCTGTGTCTCCAGGCTTTTGACCACTGCTCTGGGGAGGAGAGCTTCAACCTCATCAACAGCATTTGGAAAAAAAACTGTAAAAACGTGCAATTCTCTAGAGCCAAGTCCCAAAAAAAAAATTGTTATTGGCCCTTCCCCTTACCTCTCACTCATCAGGCCAAGCCCTCTTCTAAATCCCCAACCAGCTGCAACAGATGGGTTAAAAGATGGGGTTAATTAATAAAGTACTTAATTGCATCTGTATATGAATAGCCTTAAGAAAAGTTTCTCTGCCCTTGCCGCTTCTATATAATATTAGAGATTCTAGCCAAGGCAATTAGTCCAGAAAAAGAAATAAAAAGCATCCAGAAAAAAAGAAGTAAAAGTGTGTCTACTTGCAGACAGCATTATCTTGTACATAGAAAATCCTAAGGAATCCACTAAAAAACTATTGGAGCTAATAAATGAGTCCATTTGGCTGGGTACGATGGCTCATGCGTATAATCCCCAGCACTCTGGGAGGCTGAGGCGGGTGAATCACTTGAGGACAGGAGTTTGAGACCAGCCTGGCCAACTGGTAAAACTGTGTCTCTACTGAAAATACAAAAATTAGCCAGGCATGGTGGCACGTATCTGCAACCCCAGCTACTAGGGAGGCTGAGGTAGGAGAATCGCTTGAACTCGCCCAGGAGGCGGAGGTTGCAGTGAACTGAGATCACACCACGGCACTCCAGACTGGGTGACAGAGCAAGACTCTGTCTCAAAAATAAAAAATAAAAAAAATGAGTCCAGCAATGTTGCCAAGTACAGGATCAATATACCAAAATCTAGTAAATAAAAATCTGAAGATGAAACTAAGAAAATGATTCCATTTATTTTATTTTATTATTTTTTGAGATAGGGTCTTGCTTTGTCACCCAGGCTGGAATTCAGTAGCATGAACACAGCTCACTGCAGCCTTGATTTCTCAGTCTCAAGCGATCCTCCTGCCTCAGCCTCCAGATTAGGTGGAACTACAGGTGTGTGCTCTGCCTGGCTAATTTTGTATTTTTTGTAGAGACAGTGTTTTGCCATGTTGCCCAGGCTGGTCTTGAACTCCTGGGCTCAAGTGATCCCCTTACTCAGCCTCCCAAAGTGCTGAGATTACAGCCATGAGCAAACACGCCCAGCCTCCATTTATAGTTGCATAAAAAGAATAAGAAAATTGGCCGGGTGTGGTGGCTCACACCTGTAATCCAAGCACTCTGGAGGCCAAGGTGGGTGGATCACCCGAGGTCGGGAGTTCAAGACCAGCCTGACCAACATGGTGAAACCCCATCTTTTTTTTTTAAAAAAAAAAAAAAAAAGAATAAGAAAATTAGCAATACATTTTTTTAAAAAGTACATAACTTTTCATCTGAAAACTACAGTATTGTTAAAACAAAGAAGATCTAACTAAATGAAAAGACATCTCATATTCATACCTTTTAAGAGTTGTTTTTATTTTTTGAGACAGGATTTCATTCTCTCACCTAGGCTGGAGTGCAGTGACTTGATCATAGCTCACTGCAATCTTGATCTCCTGGGCTCAGCCAATCCTCTCACCTTAGCCTTCCAAGTAGCTGGAACTACAGGCACAAACCACCAAGCCTGGCTAATTTTTATCTGTAGAGATGTGGTCTTGCTATATTACCCAGGCTGGTCTCGAACTCCTGGGCTCAAGCTATCCTCCCATCTCAGCCTCCCAAAGTGTTGAGATTACAAGTGTGAGCTACCGCACCTGGCCTAAGAGTTAATACTGTTAAGATGGCAATACTCTCTGAAAATGATCTACAGATTCAATGCAATCTTATCAAAATCTTCACTGGTGTCTTTGCAGAAACTGACAAGCAGATCATAAAAATCATGGAAATGCTAGGAACCCAAAACAATCAAAACAATCTTGAAAAAAAAAAACACAAAGTTGGAAGATGCACATTTTGTATTTCAAAACTGCAGTCCAGACTATGAAGTACCAGTATAAGAATATACACACAGGGCTGGGCGCAGTGGCTCACGCCTGTAATCCCAGCACTTTGGGAAGCTGAGGCGGGCAGATCACCTGAGGTCAGGAGTTCAAGACCAGCCTGCCCAACATGGTGAAACCCCCTCTCTACTAAAAATAAAAAAAATTAGCCAGGCTTGGTGGCACACGCCTGTAATCCCAGCTACTCAGGAAGCTGAGACAGGAGAATCGCTTGAACCTGGGAGGTGGAGGTTTCAGTGAGCCAAGATCATGCCACTGCACTCCAGCCTGGGCAAGAGAGCAAGACTCCATCTCTAAAAAATAATAATAAATAAATAAATACATAAAAAGAATTCTTACAACTCAACAGTTAAAAAAAAGCAATTTCTCAGACTGAGCAACCACACATCAACCTCACAATTTCTACCATAGTTGAACTACTATTCACTATAGTGTTTTCTTTACTATACAGTTCTTTATAGGGACTTAGCTTTAAAAATTAATAGCTACAATTTTCATGAAATACAGCTTTGGTGCGCTAGTTTTGTGTCTATTTGGTTGTTTCAAATCTACTTTGAAATAAATAGATTAAAAAGTTTTTTCCTACCTAAAATATCTATTCATGTCTACCTCATGAATCTCAATGTGGGAAATACTGCATAGAGAAAAGGGTATTTAATTAGCACACAAGGAAATCTATGTTTTCACCCTAATCCCCCAATAAATGCTGTTTACTATCGAGCAAGTTCTTTAACCTCTCCTGAACTCAGTCTCCACATTTTTAAAAGAGAGGCCTGATTTTGGGAGGCTGAGGCAGGTGGATCACCTGAGGTCAGGAGTTCGAGACCAGCCTGCCAACATGGTGAAACCCCGTCTCTACTAAAAATACAAAAATTAACCAGCCACAGTGGTGTAGTCCCAGCTACTTGAGTTGGGAGGCTGAAGCAAGAGAATCGCTTGAACCCAGGAGTTGGAGGTTGCAGTGAGCCGAGAAGGCACCACTGCACTCTAGCCTAAGGCAACAGAGTGGGACTCCATCTCCAAAAAATAAAACAAAAGAGAGGACTGGACTAACTGTCTAAAGGTCAGACGCAAGTTCCCTGACTCAAAGGTTCAGTGATGACCTACAGTTATTTCAGCTTTGCTACTGTCAATGGGTTGCCTAATGTTTCCAGAGTCCTTATCCTATCTCCTGGGATGACTTTAAATGTTAGCTATAAAATACAGCCATGGGCTATAAAATATAGCACACTCATGAAACAATGGCTGAAAAGTAAATTGGCATAATCCTTCTGTTGTATTATTTGATAGTACCACATTTGTAGAAATTCTATACTAGGAATTTATTTGAAGGAAATAAGCAAACATGTGCCAAATGTTTCTGTGAAAGGTTAACAGTACTTATTACCAACAATGGTTAACAACATACATGTCCAATAACAGGAAAATGTTTAATAACTATATGACCTTTATAAAATTAAACATCTTTTTTTTTTTTTGACAAAGAGTTCTGCTCTTATAGCCCAGGCTGGAGTGCAATGGCACTATCTTGGCTCACTGTAACCTGCGCCTCCTGGGTTCAAGCAATTCTCCTGCTTCAGCCTCCTGAGTAGCTGGGATTACAAGTGCCCGTCACCACGCCTGGCTAATTTTTGTATTTTTAGTAGAGACAAGGTTTTGCCAGGTTGACCAGGCTGGTCTCAAACTCCTGACCTCTGGTGCTCTGCCCACCTCAGCCATCCAAAAAGTGCTGGGATTACAGGCATGAGCCACCTCGCCCAGCCTAAACATCATTTTTAAGACTGCTTAATGATGTGCGAACATACTGACTATCAATGAGAATACAAAAGTAACACCATTTAGCATATGATAATTTGTCTTTAGAATATAACTATTTTGCAAATACAAATGCAACAGAGAAAAAAAGAGAAAGAAAAAAAAGAATAAAAGAAAATGCACCTAAGGGTTAATTATAATTATCTCTGTGTGGCAAGGCAGAATTATGAGGGATCTTAACTTCCCTTTTTTATATTTGCATGACATAGACACAATTTTCTTCTTTTATAATAAACATGCTTTATTTTTTCTTTTGAGACAGGATCTCACTCTGTCACCCAGCTTGGAGTGCAGTGGTGCAATCTTGGTTCACTACAACCTCTGCCTCCCAGGCTGAAGTGATACTCCCAACCTCAGCCTCCTGAGTAGCTGGGACCACATATGCGAGCCACCGTGCCTGGCTAATTTTTTGTATTTTTGGTAGAGATGAAGGTTTTACCATGTTGCCTATGCTGGTCTTGAACTCCTGACCTCAAGTGATCTACCTGCCTCAGCCTCCCAAAGTGCTGGGATTATAGGCATGAGCCACCAAGCCAGGCCTACTCTCTTATACTTTGGTTAACCTGACTCAACCAGTACCAGTATCTGGGACTGTTTACTGTTACCTAACTGCTTCAATATGTTGCATTAACAACATTTAGCAAGCAAGTCAAACAACCTTTTTTCTTTTTTTTTTTTGTTTTTTTTTTTTTGAGATGGGGTCTTGTTCAGGCTGTATAGTGCAGCACTGCGATCTGGGCTCACAGCAACCTCCACCACCCAGGTTCAAGCAATTCTCCCACCTCAGCCTCCCAAGTAGCTAGGACCACAGGCACCTGCTACCACACCCTGCTAATTGTTTTTGAATTTTTTATAGAGACAAAGTTTCACTGTGTTGCCCAGGCTGGCCTGCAACTGCTTAGTTCAAGTGATCCGCCCACCTTGGCCTCCCAAAGTGCTGTGATTACAGGTGTG